CCTGAGCACAGCTCCGATTTTTGTTTCAGAATAATACCATTGTAAGCATATCTATTACCCAAGAACGCTCCTCCTCTGTCACTCTCTCACTAAAACCACATTCATCATAAAAACGAGAGTGTCTCTCTCACTGCGCGTTGTCTGCCAACCAATTTCGAATTTCTCAAAAAGCTTCTTCTTTTTCTTCTCTTTCTTTAAACCTTCTAGGCACCAAACACTCTCTCGCTGCCTTCCACTTTCCATCTGTTTGAGAAACGGCTTTCCGAGAGAGTGAAGAGGGATTCCATTTTCACAGCAATTTCCTATATTTCTCTGTCTGCGTCTCGGATTGTGGTTGGTTTTTTTGTGATTGTAACAGTCAAATTTTGATATATTTTTCCTCTAATTCAGAAAATGATCAACGTTACTCCAGAAGGCATTATTCTGATGTTCCTGTTGGCATTCCACATCTGGTGCGTCGTCTATTCATGAATACTGAATCAATACCAACTTGTTGTTTCTACTTCTCCTGTTTATTATCATCGGGTAGTCTTTTTTAAATGTTGAAATAAAAAAGTTCATTAAAATGAAAAAACAATGTTGCCGTCTGAAAATAAAGCAGCTCTGTATGATGTGAGCTTCAGAATCTTGAATGGGAAAAGAAATCAGATTCTGAGCTGACACCATCACAAGTATTTGGTCAACATTAAATATATGGAATTGTATAGGAAGGAACATGTTATGGCTTAGGTGACAAAAAGAACTCAAAAAGGTCAAAACATGGTATTAAAAAAAACCAAAATGATCCAGGTGGGTTCTTTAAAGGCACAGAAAAAAAAAGTTTAAGTAAGTTTTTTTAAAATTTTGAATCATGGCTTTTGGCAAAAGGCAAAAATTAAAGTCGGTGTGAAACGGGAAATTTTAATGGCAATTGCGTAATTAATGCTTTCAAAATAAAGGGGAAATGAGAGTAGTAGAATGCATTGAAACTGGGTAATAATTGAGTTAAAGTGTTAGGTTTAAATGTGCTCCGGGAGCCACGGCATCTCGGTTATTGTCCATTTCTAAAATTTAATTCAGTTGTTAGGATTCCTGAACAGCTTAGGCTTACTTGTTTTTCATCTGAATTCCTACATTTGTCTAAAATTGGTGGATTGAATTCGTCTTTTGAAGGATCGAAAATATCAGGAGAGGCCAAGCACAAACCAGTCTTTCGATTTTTGAAACGACCGATCTGAAATTTGAATTTTGTGTTATTCTAATATTAAAAAAAGCTGTGGAAGATTCCCACAACGACAAATACAGTAACCTAAAAATTATTTCATTTTCAGGATTTCTTTTTCGTTTGTGAATGCTTTTCTTTTAATCGCTTTCTCTGTTGTTTTCTTCCAAATAATTGACTGAAAACGTACTGAAATCTAAAAAAACCTGTGGAAATAAATATATTTTTAGGTTACTGTAGTTATTCTTTTGGGGACTTCTTATACAGGGTTCTTATTGCAACAGAGAAAAATTCATTTCTGTAAACTTCTGGAAGGTTCGCGAGCTTTTTTTTGTATTCCCGCAAAACTGAAAAATCTGAAAAATTAGCTGAAGTTTCTGCGATTTTTAGAGAGAAAAAATTGATTTTTCTTTGATTTTTTCCAAGATTTTTAGAAGGATAGAAGGTCCTTCCGAGAGGGGCTTGGAAAAATAGAAGGGCCCCCTGTAATAAAAGGACCCTCAAAGGACCTCCTTCATTATTTGTTTTGAAATCCGAAAATTTCTGTACTTTTTCAGGGGAAAATATTCCGCGGACTCCACAATTCAATGGAAATTCGTTGAAACTCTAATTTCCGATGAAAATCTTGCTAAATTTTGGCGAAATTGGCAGATTTTCATGTATTTTGAACGAAACTTCGTCGAATTTTTTCAATTCAAAATTTCGACAAAACTGGCCCGAAAAATAAATGGGGACCCTCTAATTGAAGAGCCCTTGTAATATAAGGGCCCTCTGGAGGAAACTTGGAACAATAGAAGGGCCGGCCTTTCTAATACAGGTTTTACGGCATTTGTCTGAAATTTTACCGTATGGTGTTTTTGAAAAAAAGTTTACTGTAGATTACTGTAGAAGCAAATTTCCTTTTGTAGTTTTTTTTGCAAACACAATAACGTCAATATGCAGATGCAAAACATAAACTACAAAAGGAAATTAGTTTTCTACAGTAATCTACAGTAATCTTCAACATCCGTTCTATCAAATTTCAGACAAAAACCCGGAAAAATCAAAAAAGAATCTTTATAAAATAGTTGAAAAACTTAAAAAGGTCTAAAAATTTTGGGAGAAATCGAAGAAATAATCTATTGTTTTCTATCGAGACCTCTGACCAGAAATTTTTATAAATGCTTTTCTTCCTTCCCTAGCTTAGATTTTTTAAATACAAGCATAATAGAAACTGGTTCAAAATCTGCATACATTTGGCTTAAAATCCCAATACTCTGTGTCGAATCCTGCACATTCTTTCAGTTGAATCTTCCAATCCGAGGAGGTATGAAGTAATTGAACAACTGTTAAACACAAGTGTTCATCAGTTCTTAATCGATGGTCTCCAGTATACAGCCACAACTAAAATAGGTTTAATTTTCGAGACTTCGATATTTGGTTTTCTGAAAATGATGAATCAACAGAACCTGCCATAAGTCTAGACCCATTGTACACGGTGCACCAAGTAATCTATGATTCTTGGGGCCAGTGTCCCCTGGACGATAAGCAGCGCAATATTTCGAATTAGAAATCTGGAAAATAAAGGTGTACCTGAGTTTTATGAAATATTTCAAGACAATCGGTAGTTGCTGGAGTCTTGATACCAGATGAACGAAGAGCCCATGCCAAACATGCACTTGAATTAGAAGATGACGTCATCTGAAGGCATGGACTCCACGTCATCATAAACATTTAAAAAACAAACACTAACCCTTCCAAATTTATCTAATGGAGTTGGTAGAAAATGATCCTTGAACACATTCTGGAGATACCATTTGAAACTTTTGCAATTCAACGTTTTCCTAAGCTCCACTCTCTCGGAAACATCGATTGATGGACGCATTCGATAGGCTTGCGGGGCGATTTTATAGAAATAGTATTTCCATTCATCCATCCATACTTCAGCAACTCTCAAGAGATTTGCATTTAACACTTTTCCACTGGATTTTCCTGGGAAGTCATGAGGGGAGGATTTTCTGAAGACGTGGCCAACATGAGAGCATGGAAGAATTTCGACACGGCCACCACATTGCCAAATCTAGAAAAAATATGAATGGTCGTAGATCAGTGAAAAATTATTTGTGTCCTAACTCACCCTGAAACTCATTTCGAGATTTTCTCCACCCCAAATATCCATTCCAGGATCATATTCTCCAAGTTCTTCAAAATAATTTCGATCTATTGAAAAAAGACCGCCGGCCATTGTAGGACTTTCAATTGGTCCGGTTGGATCCAAAAGATGTTGTTTTGCCATTGATGAGGGCATACCGTACCATCTGAATTGCAAATTCCAATTGAATCCACCTCGAAACATTTCGATTCCTTTCTGATATTGGAATGTGTTATCATTAATGATATCAATCACTGGACATGGAACTGCTTTTCGATTCAGTTTTATTCTTGTTAAAAGTGGTTCCAACCATCCTTTTGTACATTCACAGTGTGAATCCAAAAAAGTCAGTACATCTCCTTGAGCCTCCTGAGCACCCATCATTCTTGCCCTGATTAAACCAACTCTCTCTTTGGATCGAATGATTTTGATATCAGTTGGAATAGGTTTTATTGATTCGTCTAGCTTCGGATAACGAAGAAATTCTGAATAAGGAAATGTTGAATTTCAGCTGGATTAACTTAATTCTCACCTCTATCCGAAAAGTCGTCAACCAGAATTATTTCTTTCAGCAAATGCTTTGGGGATCTATCAATTACACTCCAGACAGTTCGTAGAAGTGTTGAGTACGCTTCATTATGATAGACAATAATTACAGATGTTGTCGGAAGATCTTCTGAAATTTGATGATATTTTTCTGGTACCAAAGATTGGAACTATGGAAGATAAACGTCGGTGGCCGTGGCCAAAGGTCTCACACCGACAACTACCGTAACATAAAATACTCTATTGTCCGGATTCCTGAGTATCAAAACTTTAAATTTTTCCACCGTTAGGGGAATATGGCATAAAATCTAGTGTTAGTAAAAAAACGGGAAATTGAATACCAGAGATGTCCGGATTCCGGATTCCGTATTCCGGATTCCGAGAAAATTTTTTATTCCGGATTTCAAACATATTTGTTAATTTTCAAGAATTCTCTGACTTTTTTTTAACTTCCGCTACTAAAAATGCAAAAATAAAGCACGATATGTGTTTTTAGAACTTTTCTTCCCATTTGGAGAACTCAAAATTCCGGATTCCGTATTCCGTATTCCGGATTCCGGGTTTTTTTCATTCCGGATTCCGTATTCCGGATTCCGGATTCCGGGTTTTTTTCATTCCGGATTCCGTATTCCGGATTCCGAGTTTTTTTCATTCCGGATTCCGTATTCCGGATTCCGGGTTTTTTTCATTCCGGATTCCGTATTCCGGATTCCGGATTACGGGTTTTTTCATTCCGGATTCCGTATTCCGGATTCCGGGTTTTTTTCATTCCGGATTCCGTATTCCGGATTCCGGAAAATTAATTTCATTCCGGATTCCGTAAAATTTTTATTTGTCCGGATTCCGGATTCTGGATTCCGAGAAAATTATTTTATTCCGGATTCCGGATTCCGTTTCTCAAAAAATTCATTCCGGACATCTCTGTTGAATACTGGAAATAAAAATTTTTTGGATTACGGTAGTTGTCGTTGTGAGGCCTTCAGTCACGGCCACCGGCGTTTCTCTTACACAGTAAAAATAGAAAACGTTACCAGGATACGTGATGTTTCTACACGATGGTTTTCGGATTTCTGGTAGTGATCTTCTGACCGATATTCCATCACTGACCAGTAAATTGAATTGATTAACAGCAAATGTGGAATCTGCTCTTTTTTGTTGTTCTGGAGTCAGATGGGATACTCCAGTCCCACCTTCTCCCCAATCATCATGAGGCGAGTATAGGTTAGCGTTCAGTTCATCTGATGTCAGATTTCGTTTTTTTTCTTCTGGTAAATTTCCGTTGTAGTGTCCTACTACTACCTGAAGATCCTAACTTTGCATTTTCTTTTTGATATTGAGACTCACATGAAAGTTTGATCTTCCAATTTGTTTCGATGATTTTTGAGATTGAATGGGCTTTTCACCAAAGTACTGAAACAGAAATCAATTTTTTTCAAACGATTCTCAAAGTTCAGCTTACGAAATCACTCAGGAAAACCAAGGCCAATGAAAAGGAGCACCAAATCGCCAGAAAACCAAAAAGAAAAACTGCATACGCAACGATTCGTTTTGACCTTTTCCGGGAGCGAATCAACGAGGCGATCATGCTCGCGGAGCACCACCCAAGACGAGACGAGACACTAGATCATCTGAAAAAATAGAACTGAAATTGAGACGTCAGAAACCCGTTCAAGGAGAAAATCAATTTGTTTTTGTCCACTGATAGTACCGAATTGAAACACAGGGAAAAAGAACAACATCGTCGTTGCGCAGATGTGGGGAAAATGATACGGATGATCAAGAGAAGAAGAAGAAAAAGACGAAGGAGAAGAAGAAGAAGAAGAAGTCAGTGTTAGATTAATGATAGTGGTGGAAAGGATTGATACAAAACAGGACAGTTTCTATCTATCTCTAACAATTTATATAAGAGATGATACGGGAAGTGATAAGAAGGATACGAAACATGTTTCTGGATTCTCCAAAGCTCTTTTACTTGGAAATTCAAGTTACCGTACACACTCTGATAGAACGCCAACTCTAACTTTAAGCGTTGAGCTAATTTATCTCGGTTCCGGTGAAAGATATTAAAAAGTAGTCAACTAATAAACTATTGATGATATTATGACAAACATTTTGCCAGTTGACCACTTTTTAATATCTTTTACAGGAAATGAAATACATCGGCTCAAAGTTGACGATTTGGGGTTTTTATCACCCGCAACATGAAGTTCCCAAATTGAAATATACTCTCAGTTAGATCTCCTTCATTCGTTCATAGTTCTCAATACCACAAACATTTTACAAAACCGTCCAGTATACTAAAACGATAATCTGTTCTTTTTTAATCCAAATTCCGATTTCCACTCAATTTTTATTCACAATTTTTATTTATAATAGCTCAGTTCACATTCCGGTACCTCGAATTGAGATTTTCAATACCCAATAAAAAGTGAAAACAAGATAGCGCAAGTAATACCATAAACACTCTAATAGAACGCCACTCTTAACTTTCAACTTTGAGTCAATTTCTCTTGGTTCCTGTGAAAGATATCAAAATTGGTCAACTGATAAAATATTTGTCATAATGTCATCAATATTTTATCAGTTGACAAATTTCAATTTTCTTTTACAGAAAGCGAGATAAGTAAGCTCAAAGTTGATGGTTTGGGTAGCATGAGAATATCAACTGAATGTTGGATCTTTCCAATCCTGGGATAAGTATACTAGAACATGAAAAAAACGTTATTTGAATAGGCGAGTGAACGATTTCAAGGTCATTTCACAGTTAAATGTTGCAATCGTTCTGGTCGAAAATGAAATGGAAAGGGTAATGGATGGATGTGAGTGTGAAACTTGAAAATATCTTGATACATTCATTCTAACTGGGATTTTTTTTTGAAAAACGAGATTCAAATAAATACTAAAGTATCGTGTCTCGTGATGAGAACCAAATGAAAACCAAAACCAAACCATTTGAAACAAAACCAAAAAGGCAACACTGGTAAACACATAAAAAAACAATATCCACCTCGTTTCTCCTCTATAATGATTGAGGCTTTGAAAATAGTATTCAAAGTTACGAGAATTGCTATGGAAACAGACAAAAAAGGAACCTGTTTGAATACGTGATTTCGTATTTCCCAAAAAAGGTATTGGAAAGCAGAAAATCGGTGTGGAAAAAAAAACAAGAATAGGTGGATTAGGAACTACGAGAGGAAACAAGAAGACGTTGTAATATATATAGAAGACTGAAGGTGTCATTTTTGACCCTATGGTCATAACAATGATTTCAAACTTGACATCTATTGAGTAGTTTTGAATGTATAAATGAGTATTTGATTTTGAAGAAATCAAAAAAAATCGGTCGCAGGTGGTACTGTAGCTTTGAGATCCTCATGCTCTGACAAGGGAGTTACTTGAGGGGGCAGGTTTAACTTTTTGTGAAATTTTGGGAGCAGATAGAAGAGCTTATGAGGATTCCAAATCTGTATAAAAAATCAGCAAAATGCTCACGTGAGCTGAGTTATGACCTAGAAAAGTTGGCTCTTTATGACAAGGGGGGGGGCCAAGCGAAAAGGGGGGCCCATGAGAATAGGGGGGCCCAAGTCAAAAGGGGGGGGGCCAACAGGTAAAAACGTGGACTAAGTTAAGATTTACCAATTTTTTAAAGTTTTTCGAATTTTTCTATAAAAATTTTGTACTTTGCGCTTGTTTCCACAAAAATTTGTCACTTCAAAAAATTTCAGTTTAGGCCAGTTTTTTGTTTGAACAACACTATTTTTTTATTGTAACTGTGTAATTTGAAGTTGTTCAGCTAGTTTAAAACAGACATTTAATTTTTAAAACAGACATTTAATTTTTGAAGAAATTCACAAATATGCTCATGGGTTCATCGAAGATTTTTCAAATTTTTTTTTCATTTTTTTTTGTTTTTTTTATTGAAAAAACAGTTGAGGATTCTAAACACATCGGTGGCATTCGATGACAAACTGCTGGAAACATATGTTCTTGGCACGATACGCGCATTTGACCATTGACAATCTTTTGCACCCAGATAATTAGCACTTTCCATAAACTTTCCGGTCGAAGCAATATTGAATTGGTGAAAATTTAAAAAAAAACATTTTGAAAAATCTTCGATGAACCCATGATATTTGTGAATTTCTTCAAAAATTAAATGTCTGTTTTTATTCTGGAAAATGCCTATTCATAACGAGAAACTCCCGAAAAACATGTTTAAATTGCGTAAATTTTATTCCAGAGCCAGTTATGGCAGCTTGAAATAAAACAAAAAAAATTTGCAAAATTTTTGAGATCGGGAGAATCGAACCTACAACCTTCCTCCTCTGAACTTGCCATTTTACCACTTTCCCACACTGCTGATTGAAATCTATTGTTTTAAAATAAATACACTATTCCGTGAAAAAAAAATCTCACGAGAAATTGCTTAATCATAGGGAAACTTTTCAAGGTCATAATTCAGTTCACGTGAGCATTTGCTGATTTTTTTAACAGATTTGGAATCCTCATAAGCTCTTCTATCTGCTCCCAAAATTTCAAAAAAGTTAAACCCGCCCCCTCAACTAACTTGTGAGATACTGCAGGCATGAATACAAAAAATAAAACAGCTATTATACATGTACAAAAAACAGAAGCGGTGTAAAAGAAACTCCGGTGGTCATGGGTAAATTACCAACGACAACTAAAGTGACCAAAAAAAATGTATTTCAGAATTTTTTTTTCCGTTTTTCTGTGATATTCATCTAGTTTTTTTGCTAATTTTCCTCAAAAAAAGTCGGAAATTTTAAACTTTTGATAGTGAAAAAAAATTGACTGAAAACGCACAAAAAAGAAACATATTTTTAGGTTACGGTAGTTGTCGTTATGGGACATTTCGCCACAGCCACCAGATTTTCTCTTCCACAGCTCCGATTTTTTGAATCAGAATAATAGCTCAGAGAATTTCATGCTCACGGTGTCGGGGATACTGTAATCATGAATAAAATAATCGTGAAAGTACTGTATAAATCGTTTGTTTCAACACATACCTAGATAGTTTAATCTCCGAAAAGAAGACTTTAATATCAAGAAAATGGCGTACCTGACTGACAAATCTTCTTTGTAGGCGGCGACTGTAGAACAAGGATAGAGGTTGTTGAAACAGAAGATTTTCTTTTTTTTTCGAAAGTTTTTTTTGTCCAAAAATGGAATCGACAATCTCGGGATTATTCGGAGAATGAGAAGAAGAAGAAGAAAAAGGAGAAGAAGGAAAAGACTAAGTAAAAGTTTTTCCTTCTGACAGAATCCCCTTTTGAAAAATGAATAGTATCTATTTCAGAGAAACGCAGAGACAAGCCCTCTCCAGAAACTGTAGAAGTGAACATAAGAAGTGGAGAGAAATGAGGAGAAGAACGGCCTCGAATGGGGTCATTCGGGATGGAGAAATAATGAAATAGACAGTGAAAACTAGAGATTCAGACAATTTTGGATTTTTTGAAAGAACTAGGGATGACGAGCGAAGCGATTTGAGAAGAACAAGAATTGAGTGGAAGAATATGTTTGAAGTACCTAAAATTAGTTCGGGCTTTGTTCAAATATTATTCTGGTATAAAACATTGGAGCTGTAGAAGAGAATCAACGACAACTACAGTAACCTGAAAACAGCTTTGATTTCAAGATTGATTCTCTCGTTTTTTTACTGATTCCCGCCGATTTTTCTGGTATTTCCCCCCGAAAAAGTCGGAAAATAAAAATTTTTGATAGTGAAAAAAATTGCCTGAAACGCCCAAGAATTTAGAAAAAACTATGAAAATGAAAAAATGTTAGATTACGGTAGTTGTCGTTGTGGGACCTTCAGCGATTCTCTGATGATTTTGTGAAATGGACGGAATAATCGAGAATTTATAAAAGTAATCCGTCAGATGACTGACTGAAAAAAACACTGAAAACATTATATTTCTGTCTGAAAAGAAAATCTAACCACAAAGTTAAAACATTTTTCAGAATATTTCAAGTTTCCCTTTTTTTTAAAGATTCTATCAGATGTCGCGAAACTTGGAATCTCAACGGGAGAAGAAGAAAGAGTGCACTGGAGACCAGCTGAACGAATTAAAATCAGAAATGCAGCCTTGAAGATCCTTCCAATTTGCTTTCCTTTTTCTGTCTTGTATTTTCTTTTTCATATTCCATAATCTGTATAATTAATAAATCGAGTTTGAAACTGTGGAAAACTTTAGTTATTTTTTTCATCAGTTTGTATTCAATCTGAAATTAACACCGGTTGTGTAATTTCACAAGTGTCTGTAATTCACTGTTCGCAATTTTTGTAGTGTGTTCATTAATGAATTCCTTGAGAATGTTCCAGCCGAAGACACAATGGTTTTCGGCAAATTCGCAATATTTATTTGTAAAGCATGGGGAAAGGTGGTCATTTAATAGGAAGTGTTCGATATTAAGTTGCTCGAGAGCTAATATGAGCGCTGAGAACTCAAAAATATTCAAAAGTTAACTAATTGGGTGATTTTTGCTACTTCTGAATAACCTCTTTTTTTTCAAGTCAAAAAAACCAGAACGATCCCAATTTTACCTGAAATTAGAGGGATTCGCAACACAGCCCATATATTTTTGTATCATTAACCCTTCCGAATGACCCCTGTTTTTCTTATCTCAATTCCGATGAAACCAAGTCAAACTCACAGAACTCCTCCCAAAGAAGCGAGAGAGCGTGCCGGGTAAGGAGAGAAGAGAGAGTGAAAAACGCAAGCGCCGCGCGGTTCTTGTGGGCGGAGCCAATCAATTTCGATGCCATTCGACCAAATTTACTACTGTTTTTCTGATTTTTCGTCACTTTTATGTAAAATTTTTACAATTGGTTCAGATAAATAGTAATTTATTAAGCACCAACAGTTTCTATTAAGAAATAAAATCACACAGTTTCGAAATGTACCTTTTTTATTGATCGGGCTATTTCCTTTCATGAGTTGATTTCAGTTGGTTTCCTACGGAAATTCAGGGAGACACAAAGCTAATAGGGGAAAGCAAAGCAGTGTAAGTATTTCAACTTTTAAACTTTAAAATTTAAAAATCTTGAAATTTCGTCGAGAGAACATGACTCCTTTTCAGTTTCAATGAGTTCCGACTCGCCAGACGGCTCTAATTTGCCGAACAGTGATCATTCTAACGGTAGCTCGAAACGGGACGGTCAGTTATCGATTGAAAAACGCTGAAAACTTGTCTAGAATTAAATTTATGAATTTGGCTGTGTTCGCTGCATGTGCTATGTATTTCTTCGTTTGGATTTTTGCTGCTGCATTTTGTCGTCAAGAGATATCGTAGGAATGTAAAACTGTCACCTCGTGTTCGCAGACTCAGTACAAAAATTAGAGTGTTTTGCACTGAGTCTGAAAACACGTAGATGACCGTTTTATGATTCCGACAATATTGCTTCTTTATTTTTCTGTGTTTTCCATGTCGTGTCGTATTTTTTCGTCGCTTGTTCTGATATGTTAACAACAAAATAACTACTATTTTTCAGCAATGGAAATTTCACCTGGCTCATCGTCTCACGAACGAGACCGAAAAGGACATCGGGACCATCGGGAAAGGACGCGGAGTCACAGTGGATCACCGTCAAGATCATACGGAAATCAAAAACGAGGTGGATCAAGACAAGGAAACAGAGGGAGAGATCGGGAATCGAGGGATTCTTTGACACCTCCATACAAGACTCAACGGTAATATTTTCAATTGAGACATAATGTTCTAGTTATTAAATTTCTTCCTTATATATAAAACGTTAGAGATGTCTGTTGGTCCGTTTTTGAAACATTTGAAAATTGAATATAGATTGACGTGACCTTTAAGAAAGTAAAGAACTCAGTGACCAACAAGTAAAGAACTAGGTTAAATCGCGCCGAAGGCGCACCAGCTTGCTGGTAACTACGTTTTTAATTGAGAAAATATAGGAAAAGGACAAGTTCGATGCACGACTTACGTTTGAATGGATTTGTTGAATGTTATAGTGGACATAGGCCCTATGACACTTTTCAATATAAGCCTAACCCGTATCGTTCCGATAATATCGTTGGCATCAGTTTCAGAGCGTATTCGAGTCCCAATAATTATCGCAAAGGAGGTGGTGGTGGAAGAGATCGAGGCAGAAACGATTCGAGTCATCGGAAGAAGAGCAAAGAGCGAAAACGCCGTGATAAAAGGAGCCGTAGTCGGAGCCGTCATCGTTCACCAAAACGAGGTGGCTCTTCGAAGAAGAGGAGTAAGAGGAATTCATCCGGATCTTCTTCTTCAGATTTGTAAGTTGCAAGGAGATATTAGAAATCTGAAATTATTAAAAATTAGTTGAAAAAAAACTTGCACATTCGGTGGTTGATGCATATTCGGTGGTTGATTAGACTAGACTTACAAATTCTTGAGACCAACCAGGCAGTACTCAATTCGAATTTCGAATTCGAATAATGAATTTTCTGGGTAAACGTCGGCAATAGGAATACGCTTAAGGTGTGGCGAGAGAGAGCGGAGCTTGAGCTAAACTAATGAGTATAATTAGAGGGTGTGACGAACGAAATTTGATTTGTCGAAACCAGGCATTAATTTTGGGATGAAATCGTCAAAAAGAAAAAATTTCTTGGAATTCCGAACATTCAGAATTTTCCGATGTTAAAAATTGTCGATTTTCACAAAATCAGAATATTTAAAAAAAATAGGAAAGGAAAGCCGGGTTTAGCTAGCAATTCAATCTTGATGTGTCTGACTCTTCTCGCGATTTCGTATTATTATGATATTTCTTCGTTGTTCCCGGAACAGTCGCATTAAATGTGACCTACCCGTTGAGCTGGATAAAATACTGCACCTTCTCATTAAGAAATCGTCGAATCCGAGATTTCGATAAACATTTTGCCCATATAAAGCATAGCATCCTCACAGATTGAATCCGTAAAAAAATTAATCAACGTTTCGTAGACACATGTGTTTAACGCTCCAGTGAATCAACTTTTTTAATACCTCTAGCTCACTGTTGTCAAGGTGATAAGTAATATCTCTCATTATATAGAGCATATATCTGAACCTGGCACACAAGAGTGTATAGAAGAGAATTGGGAAAATATATATGGCCCTTCCGATTTCATTGTAATTTTTTTTCAAACATTTTCGAATCCAATCAAAATTCTTTTTTTTTGCTAGCTGTGTGCAAGTTCAGTTTTCGATCAAAAATGTTTTAAAACTGATTTCTCTTCAGCCTTCACTTATCGTCCTTCGTATCATCTTTGAATGGTTTTTCTGTTTCTGCAAGTATGATAGTGGTTTCAATTTGAATGGGCTGTACAATTAGACCATACTTTTTATTTCTCGCTCCTGAAAATAGATGTCTCTAAATTAGCTCCATTAGTTATTCAAATTGTCGCCGTCATCTCTTGAAGTGAATATCTATAAAATAGAATTGGATTTGGAAGAAAACTGAAAAAGAAATCGTGCTTGGCGATTCGAAATTCGGAAACTGACATCTGTTTCATTTTGATCGTCGCATCTTTTGGCCAAAAAGACCTGTGCACTTTTTTCATCTAAATTTTCCAATTGTGTCTATCCTCCTCTTCGACACATATTCATAAAAAAGGAGAAAATGAAGATGCCACCAAAACATTTTCCATTTGTGCCATGAGACGCAGGAAACAAGACAAACGACCCTTTCTCCCCTCCCATACCCTTTTCTCTTGCTGCGCGCACCCTTCTTGTCCACTGGGTCCCCTCTCTGCCCCTCTACTCTATCTTCGGCGATTCCAACCAACAAGTCACCGGTGAATGAAGCTTGACGGCGCCGTCGCTCGTCGTATTCGGTTTCTCGGTGCTTCTGCGTCTCTCCGTTATATAATTGTATTCTTTCTCTGTCTCGCCACATTCGTTTATTCACAGCTTCACGTCTCTCGTCTATTCTTCTCACTATCTCTCAGTCACTGTTTTTATACATTCAAAGTTCTCGTCAGCAGGAGGACATCTATGCTCTTTCTCAGTTCCGTGTAGATCTCGGATAGTTTAAAGTATTTCTAGTGCACTATGCATGGCTGGAAGAAAAACAAAGAAGAAGAAGAAGAAGATGATCGCAGTAGAAAAAGGACTAGAGACTCCAGCTGGAATGGGTAAGATTGCTAACTTATAGTTCTTGAATTTTTGAAAAAATTTGGGTTAATAGTGGGGTTCTCATCTAATTTGTTGCAACTGTTTCTAGAAGTTACAGAATGGACACATCGTTAATTGGGGAAATAAAGAAGAAACATGGTTCCAATATCACATCATCTGGACGAAAGAAGAAGAGTGGTCGAAGTTCTCGGAAACATCGCAGCCCCAGTTCTTCTTCAAGCAGTTCTGGAGATGTGAGTTTTTTTGGTAGAAAATTACCAGATTCGTTAGAAAAAAAAAATAAAGAGTTGCTTTGGAATTTGAAATTTCTTCGATCCATTTCAGATGGCCATACCAGCATCGAACGGTATGAACGTAACTGCCATGCCACCTCCACCAACTTTTCAACCGCCGTTCCAAAACATGTTCGCTCAACCTCCTCCTCCTCCCTTGGTTTGTTATTGTTCACACGATCTTCTCAAATGAAATCAGACTTTTCAGCCTCGCGGTCCACCTCCACCTCCGGGAAATCATTTCATGACTCCTCCACCAATGCCTCCACCGACTTTTACAATGCCACCTCCACCTCCTCCAAAAGATTTTCACTTTTCTGCTACAACTAGTGTGACACACGTTGCACTCAGCTCCATACCACCACCTCCACCACCTCAGATGGTGGAATTCCCTTCAAGCTCTCGAAAAGACCATTTGCCGATGCCTCCCGATAGTAAACGGATAACTAGCAGGCCAGTGTAAGTAACAATTTACCGAAAACGTCATTCGTCATACATTAATGACTTACAGGATCATAACAAAACGTGGAGTTGTTTTCAAGACACCATCTGACTCTGACTCGTGGTATAAAACCAATCTGACTCACTATGAGATGCTCGATCAAATTGGAGAAGGAACGTATGGACAAGTTTACAAGGCTATCAACAGGCTTACCGGTAAATTATATTGTTTTTCGGTTCAATTCTAAAACAATTCATTTTGAAGGTGAGCAAGTTGCTATGAAGCGGGTTCGTCTGGAAAACGAGAAAGAAGGTTTTCCGATAACAGCGATTCGAGAAATCAAAATTCTCCGTCAGCTACACCACAAAAATATCGTCAGACTAATGGATATAGTAATCGACGATATTACGCTGAACGAGCTCAAACAAACTAGAGCGAATTTTTATTTGGTATTCGAATATGTCGATCATGATCTGATAGGATTGCTCGAATCGAAGGAGCTTGTCGATTTCTCAAAGGAACAAATTTGTTCGTTGTTCAAGCAATTGCTCGAGGTAATTGTTTCGTGTCTGATTATTCTTGTTTTCACATAAAATGTTTCAGGGTCTTGCCTACATTCACGCCACGGGTTTTCTGCACAGAGACATCAAATGCAGTAATATTTTGGTTAACAACAAGTATGCTTTTCAGTTTTCGGGGCAACATTTTCCACCTGTTTTATTTCAGAGGCGAGTTAAAAATTGCTGATCTCGGACTTGCTCGGTTATGGCAAAAAGAGTCTCGATTGTACACAAATAATGTCATCACTCTCTGGTACCGTCCACCAGAATTGTTGCTAGGAGACGAAAGATATGGAACAGCAGTCGATGTCTGGAGTGCAGGGTGTATGCTAGGAGAGCTATTCACCAGAAAGCCTTTATTTAATGGAAGCGATCCGTTCGGACAGTTGGATTTAATCAGCAAGGTTAGAACATAAAATGTTTGAGGCTGAGCTGACTTACTGCTTTCCAGGTCTGTGGATCACCATCTCCGGAATCGTGGCCTGAATTGACAGAGTTGACTTTTTGGAATACTTTCAAACAACGTAGAAGCTACCCACGCAAGATCAGGGAGGAATATGAACAGTATGTATTTATTTAGCTCAGTTACTACTGAAAGGTTTCATTTCAGCTTGATGCCTCGAGATGCTGTTGATTTACTTGACAAGATGCTCACTTTGAACCCAGAACGGCGAATTTCCGCTAAAGACGCCCTTTTACATCCTTGGATTCGGAATCTGGAGCATGCTTGTGTTCAGCCGTTAAAACTGCCACAGCATCAGGTAAGATGGTTGATGAGCTCTTTTATAGCATGCGGAAAATTAACAGGACTGTCACGAGATGTGGAGTAAGAAGCAGAAACGGTTAGCACGACTTGGAAAACAACCCGAAAGGTCAAGTAGTGGTAGTCATGGTAGTGTTCGGGCAAGCTCCCATCCCCGAGGTAAGTTCCACCGTTGATGAAGAACTTTTAATGACAACTCATGTTCTTTTAGTTCCTCCTCCACCACCACCAGCACCACCGGCTGCTTCAAACCCAACGTCGTCAAGATCGAATGGTGCTGTACACCACCAGCAACATCACGCAACTTCGATGCCGCCTGTCTCAGGAATCCGTCCACTGATACCTCCAGCTCCTCCAACGGGGCACAACCATCATCCAGTTCATCAACCATTTCAACCAGTGTTCTTCAAATGATTCACTTTTAAAATTTCATGGATTCAAGGGAAAATATATCATTCCTTGTTCTCTCTTCTACTGATTCTCCATTGCTTCTTTTTTCACCCTCATTCTTCTTATTCTATTAGTTAGATTGATTTTTCTTAAAATGTGAGTGTTGTAAAGTCTTCTTTGAAATTTTATAACTTTTTTCGCTTATATCATTTTCCATCCTTGTATTCGGTTCCCTCATTGTCCCCAATTTTTCCTCTCTCTCTCTCTCTGATTTTTTTCAAATGTAAAACTGGAAAAGTGTCTGAATGTCACTACTGTAACAAGAATGTAGCAGCGGATGCAATTTCATCAATGGATCAACGGCGAAATGGATAGTCACAATGCGGCAGGTTTCTTTTTTTCATTTTTGATATTGCAGAATAAATTTGACAAAAAATTATCTTGTATCGGAGGTTGAGTAGGGGGAACACATATTGATCACTCTACAGTGGATTCGTCTTGTTTCGAGATTCGTCAGATTTTTTCGGAACTAGTGAAGGGTCGGGAAACAGGAAATTCCAGAGATTTGTCTGCATTTTTATGTGATGTCGTTTGCAGAATTTTCCGTGAAAAAATAATTGATACAGTAATCTACCGTAGTAGCTGCAAAAACATCGCCAAAACGCAAACGAACCTCTGCTGAGATTTCCTGTCCCTTTTATTCAATTCGGTGTCAGCTTTTCATAACATACTTTGGAATTGATCATTAGTTACATTTTTTCTGTAAGTTCTAAATCTTCCAACGCACTTTTCAAAACTTGATGATTCATATGAAGATATGCTAACAGATACTCAATACTTAACCGTCGTTGACGGATAAGATCTGAAAACAAACTCTTGCTTTTCAAAACAGTTCTGAGCTAGCTTCAGTTAGGTTCATATTATCGTCCGTCTGCCTCATTATAGGAATATCTGTACCTTGAAAAAAGCTCATTGTTGTAAAAATAGGGGATCGAATTTAGTTTTTCAAAATCTAGTGGGATCTATTTTCCCAAATTACTATAATATTTCACAATTGTACCGGTACCATCTACCTGTTTAGTTTTCTCTTCCTTGCTATCATATGTAATTTTAGGAAGATTTTCAAAAACGCATTTATTATACAAATTGAAATTTCCGGTTTTTCTTTTCTGTGTATTTGTTCTTTTCCCCCCTCATATTGACTGTAATCTTTCTGTTAATTTTCTTTTGTGATCGTCTAAATTGTGATTTTTTAATGTTTTTTTTTTCAATCTTAATACAATAATAACATTTCAGTATTTATGATACTTTACTTAGTTTCAAATGGAATTTCAAAATAAATTAATTTGAGATATCGGACGTTACGACAGCCGGAGGAGAAGATTCCATTTTCTGAAAAAGAAAGAGTTAAGATAATTTAAAATATCTGGCACCAAACCTCAGTAATCTTGACACCGTACTCTTCTTCATAGGCTTCTTCTAGTTTTCTCCAAGGATTGCTCATCATTGCTGGCATCAGGCATTTGCTGGAATCAACTGGTCCCTGGAAATTTTTCAATCGATTTCGACATTTACTAGACATCAAAAGAAGCCCACACTCAGTTAAATTTAGAATAGAAAGAAGACTTACATGATTCACATTCCCTCCACGTCTTCCTCTGCCTCCTCTGTCGTTCCTCTGAAATCCTTGTCCACGTCCTCTTCCGCCTCGGTATCCATCGTTATTCTGATGTCTATAGTTTCCTCGGTTGTTTCCTCGATATCCTTGATACCCACCACCACCTTCACCACCACCACTTATCCCACTTCTATAGCCATAATTCTGATTTCCTCCCCAGCCACCATCATTCGATTGTTGATATCCTCCTCTGTATTCACCTCGATTATCATTTCCTCGCCAACCACCACCACCACCTCTACCACGTCCTCCATATGGTCTCCAATGGTTTTCTGTAAATCTTAATACTTATTTGAACCTTTTTTTGAGAAAAAATGACTGTTTTCACCAACTGAATACTGAAAACTTGGTTTTAACCTACTAAAAATAGTATTTTTGAAACAAAGATTACCTCCGCGTTGTTGCCAATGTCCTCCTCTATAATTGTCTCCGCTCATAACAAAATCTTTATTGAATTTCAGCTGCTAATCTGAACAACATTCAATCGAAATTTGAATTTCTGCTTTGTCCGCGAGGACTACACGGCCGAGTTTTGCCTGGCCTAGGCCAATTTTTCCTAGGTCATTTTCATTTTTGTTCGAATCCGAACTTTTGTTCAATTTTTAGCTGTAAACATACACTCAGAGATTCGACGGGAAAAAACTGGAGAGAGAAGGGGGGTCTGGAGAAAACGCCGAGAGAACCAGGTTCGAACGGCTGCAAAGCTGCTAAAATAGGCGCACCTGTAAAAGTGGAGCGTCGTTAGGAAAAAAGTTCGAACCGATATCTCTCCCAGTTTTCCCCCGTCGAATCTCTGAGCATTTTGTAACTCTAAAAATAACACATACATACACTTTATGTTGCAGGGTATACGACTAAATGGATTCAGAAGCAATTAGCTCTGATAGTCATGTGGCAGCTGCGATAGCAACTCGCCGGAGATCGAATTCTGTGTCTGATGATTATTCTGTGCAGAGAACAAACGACGATGCAACTCAGTGCAAGTATTTTGCTATCCAGGTACTAACTGAACTTGTTTTAAATCAATCTAGTAACACATTTTTTGTTATAGAAGGGCTACTGGAAGGATGATTTCATTGGTCGTTTCGCCAATTCCTCAGCAAATGTTGCCGAGGCTCGTCGTTTCCCAGAAATTTCAATGGGGTATTGGGCTAGAACAGCTGCCATTGAAAAGTACGTTCGTGGATTTTTGGAAGAGTTCGATGGAAATGCACAAGTTGTCAGCTTTGGTACGTTCCTTCAATTATCATAGGATTGATTCGTCGAACTAAGCCACTAATCCAAATCCGGGTCATAAAGTTCAAAAAATGATTCATTTTGAAGATTGTGTCTTTTTCCCGCTCTCTTATCAACTTCTTTTGCAGTTCTCTTATCAACTTCTTTTGCAGGATGCGGATTTGATACTCTCTTCTGGCGTCTCGTATCTTCCGACGCAAAGCTTGCCAAATACGTTGAGGTTGATTTCTCTTCAGTCACCTCCAAAAAAATTCGTCACATTCTGAAGCCTGGAGGTTCTGTTGATTTGAAGAAAAGTTTTGAAAGTGAAGGTGAACGATGAGTGCTGATATCACCTAATTTACCAACTTATTTTCAGCTGTCGTCTCTCATCACGCCGACCTTCATGCCGGAAATTATCATTTGATCGGAGCTGATTTACGTCAAACAAGCGAGCTGGAGCAGAAGCTGGCAACTTGTCAGCTTGATCATGACATCCCGACAATTTTCATCGCAGAATGCGTTCTTGTCTACATGTCGTCCAATACAAGCTCTTCTCTCCTCAAGAATCTAGTTTCCCAGTTCCGTCATCCAGCTTTTGTGAACTACGAACAGTTCCGCACTTCTGATGCTTTCACTCGTGTTATGGAACAAAATTTGGGAGAAAGAGGTATTCAGCTGCACGGATTGGAAATGTGTGAGAGTGCCGAAAAGCAGGAAGAGAGGTTCGTTGTCTAATTCTGAATCAATTCAAATGATCAAAAATTTCAGATTCCGTAATGCCGGATTCAAGTCTGTCAAGGTCATGGATATGAATCAAATTTTCAACCAGTTCCTCGATCAAGACGAAGTTGCAAGGTATGGAAGGATTTATCTTATTAAAAATACATGTCCTACTATTAAAACTTTTTTTTCAGAATTCGGCAAATCGAAATGCTTGACGAAATGGAGCTTCTTGAACAGCTTCTTGCTCACTACTGCGTCGTGTTCGCCAGAGTTTGAATATAATGTTTATTGATATCTTGTAAATTTCTTTTTAAATAAGCACCGTTATTGCTGTCTGATTCCACCGATATATCGTTCCTTCCCTGTGTTCTCGTACTTGCTTCTCAATTAAGTTTTCGATATTTACGATGTTCCATTGAATTCTTCTGGTTTCTGATAGTCCATTCCATATTTACAATGTAACCTTACTGAGAAACAACTAACAACCCCAGAAGTACTGACGTTGTGCCGATGAAATGTTGGCGATGGCGATCAAATCGCCATCGAATCTACCTATTCTTCGCATGTGCTTCTCTTTTACTGCTGTCTAAACACTACTTAACAGTCACTGTACCAATTGACGAAGAAGACGAAGAACTAAACCCAGTAGATTTAAAAGAAAAAGAAAAGGTTACTAAAAATGCAATAACGATCATTTGTATTCAGTAGTTTCCAGGAAAAAATAGAATGTGAACCAACTGGCGCAGTTGAAACAAAATGTACGGCAGACAATGGAAAACCGCTGAGATGTTGGAAAGATGAAGAAGAAGTGTATTTCCCATTTTCTTATATTAAAAAAAGGTTCGATATGACTGGAAAATTGGGAAAAGACGGATCCACATTTGAGCTGTTTACTTCCTATGCAAAAATGAGGACGCCCGATAAGAACTACTATCCATTGGGCCCATTTGGACACTTCTCAACATACAGTGTGGAAACAAGAGATCGTGTCAGATGCATCAGTGCGAAAACAGGTAGGACATCAGGATGTTTTTTGAGCAATGCTCAGGAATTTCAGATGTTCCAATGTCCACTCAATGGGATCCGATACCTTACTACTACCCGATTCAGATTGCACAATACGGGCTCCAGCATTACAGTAGGATTAAACTAGGTATACTGCTTATTGTTTTGAAAGTCCTAACTTCCAACTTGCAGATTCGGTGAGCAATAAATCAGATGATAACGCTGAAGTACTTGTGGGTGTACAATCGAAGGAATGGAAAGGTGCTGCTGGTATGCATGAGACAACTGAGCGATTGTTTTTCAACGATGAAGAAAAAGGAAAAGTAGTGAACATCAGTGCTGGACGTTGGATATTTGATAGAGTTTCTCTGATTTGAATTAGTTTTTCAGATGCTTTGTCGAATGCAGGAGCATATGTGTATCTCGATAAATCTCCAGACTTGCATGTCATTTCCTTCGACTGGAAACCCTATGATGCAAACTCGTCTTTCACAGTTTTAGCGAAGATGAAACAAGATGATCTATTAGTTCTTATTAACTATGTATTCTCAGAAGGGGACGGAAAGTGTGTTTGGCAAGACGAGGAAAAGAGTTTTGATGATGAGACAATAGTTTTGAAACCAAGAAAAGACGGTCAAGTTTCATACTCGTATTCTTATTCTGGAAGTGCGCCTATTGGGGAATGGTCGACTGTGACACGTGATATTCTTGTGGATGTAGCTCGAGCACTTTCAAGTGGAGAAAATCGAAAGAAAGATGACAATGTTGTCCTCCATCCAGGTATGGTTCCATGGATATCCGAATAATATAAGTGTGTTTTTTAGGCGACCTTCGTCTGGTCTCTCTAGGATTCCGTGGCCAATTGACTGTCAGACAACAAATAGCTCAACGAAAAGAGCAAGATTCTCATGCATTCCGATCTTCTGCTGACTGGTTAGTGGAGAACCAAGATAAAAAGGGAGGATGGGCAGTACCTGTGGAGAGATCAATTGCGGATAGGAAACTAGTTTTACCTCCCGGATGGCATAGTGCAATGGCTCAAGGTTTTTACAAAGAATGCAATTGCGTTTTTACTTTTTAATTTTCCAGGTCATGGAATCTCAGTCCTCACCCGAGCATACAATCAGTTTAATGATAAGAAATACTTGTCTTCTGCGATTAATGCTCTGGAACTATTCAAGACAAATTCGTCCGAAGGTGGTGTCCGTGCGGAGTTCTTCGGATACATTTGGTATGAGGAGTATCCAACAACACCTGGATCCTTTGTACTTAATGGATTTCTCTATTCACTGATTGGTCTCTACGATTTATCGAAACTGGACGTTTCCGGAATCTATGATGATAGTGCCAAAACGAAAGTTAAAGAGGCGCAAGAAATGTATTCAGTGGGAATACGTTCATTGAAACAGTTACTTCCATTATATGATACGGGAAGTGGAACGATCTATGATCTACGTCATGTCGCACTAGGAACGGCTCCTAATCTGGCGAGATGGGATTACCATGCGGTACATGTATATCTACTGAAATGGATCGCTGGTCTTGAAAAGGACGAGTTTTTAAACAAAACTGCCGATCGCTGGATTGGATACGCTTATGGAAAACGGGCAAAACACAATTAATACTTGCAGAACAACACAAGCGAGTTTTTAAAATCAAACATTCAAACTTAATGATTATTGTTCTCAACTTTTTTTTTCAAAATTTCAGATCAAAGTTCAACCGAATCCTCCTCTCCATCTGACATCGGGTTCACACTGTCATCTCCCTACTGCGTGCCTACAGCGTCATTCTTGTTTCACCTCATTCGATTTTGCCCCTGTTTTTAACTCTAATCTCCCGAGTATCATACTGCCCCTCGTTTCTACATTTATGTGCATATTTTAACTTTTGTTTCCGTTGTCAGTTTTGCCCAACTTCTTCTCAACCATTTTCTCATATTTTTCCTTCATCACAACTTCCATTCTTCTTGCTTCAATTTGGAATCATTGTGCTATTGTATGCTTGTGTCACACGATCTCTTTGTAGTTTCATGTATAAATGCTTCTTTTCCTTCTTTTCAGTCCCCAAGTTCAAACTTGAAAATGAGCCGTCGTTATGGTTGGTTTGATGAGATTCGTACCTTCTTTCCAACCATTTGGCTCATTTTGGCTCCACTCATCCTGAGCCCTTTGCTGTTTTTGGGACAGGAAGGAAAATGTACATTCGTAATTTTGACAATGTCCTGTTATTGGGTGGCAGAAGTGGTTCCACTGGCTGTAACGTCTTTTATTCCGATGATAGCTCTTCCATTCCTGGGAATTGTTGGAATTAAACAAGTTGCTCCTAAATATTTTGCAGTGAGTTGCCAATCAGAAGAAAATGAATTCTCTAGGCTTACTTTAGGATACAAATATCGTATTTTTCAATAGTTTGATGCTATCACTTGCCGTCGAAGAATGTCAGCTGCATAAAAGAATTGCTCTGAAAATGTTGACCTATGTTGGAACAAGGCCACATTGGTGAGAGAGAGAATCTCTGAAAATGAATTTGAAAATAAACGAAAGAAAATATTTAGGTTGATGGCTGGATTCATGATCATCACCAGTTTTATGTAAGATCCATGTATCATAGATTTTAATTCTTTAGTTTAAAATTTCAGATCACTTTGGATCTCGGATACAGCTTGTTGTGCACTGATGGCTCCGATTGCATATGCTCTTCTTGAAGAAATTATGATTCCAAAAATGAGAAAAGTTAAGAAAATCGAGGAGATTGAGAATACAAAAGTGCTAGAAAATGGAGAAATCGAGTGAGAATTTGAAATCCTAAATTTAATAACTTTAAATTTCAGAGAACGGAAACTGGACACTTCAAAACTTTCAGCGAGAGATAGAGGAATCTGTAAGTGTATGATGCTTCTGGTTGCTCATGCCTCGTTGATAGGAGGAACGGGAACTATAAACTCCACTGGACCAAATCTAATTTTCAGAGATAACATTGAAAAGTGATTGCTTTTCTTTTTTTTCCAACTTTTAATCCTAAACTTTGAAGAAACTTCCCAAACGAGGACCATGGTATCTCTTATCTTTCTTGGATGGCATTTGCAATTCCTCCTATGATATTCTACATGTTCTCTTCTTGGTTCATTGTTCAATTACAGTTTTTGGGACCTCGTCACATGATAAGTATGTTCAAAAAACCAACAGAATCTGAGAAAGAAGAAGAGGACTTTGCAAGAAAAGCTGTATTGAAAAGTTATAATCAGTTGGGACCAATGACATGGGCTGAGAAAAGTACTCTTGTCATTTTCCTTTTGGCAGTTTTGTCCTGGATTTCATCAGACCCAAAAGTGATTCCGGGATGGTCAGATTTGTTCAAAAAGGGATATGTAACTGATTCCTGTTCCGGATTGGTTGCAGTGTTCTTGCTTTTCATTTGGCCAAAAAACAAGCCGGACTTCAGGATGTTTAGAAAAGACAAGAACAGACCATCCGTTCGTCAAGAACCTCTGATTGATTGGGATTGCGTTAGACGTCGCTTCCCTTGGTCAATTATTCTTCTTCTGGGAGCTGGATTTGCTATTTCAGAAGCAGTGAAAGTTAGTACGGTAAATTTCTCTTCTCTAGCGGATATTTTTAAGGTCAGCGGTCTCTCAACACTCATTGCCTATAACTTGAATAGCACTATTTCTTCTCTTCCACTTTTTGGAATGCAAGTGATTCTTTCCATTGTGGTTGTTGTGATGACTGAATTTTCAACCAACTCTGCAACTGCTTCTATATTCATTCCAATTTCGTTTACTCTGGCAGAATCAGTTTGTGCACATCCCTTATATTTTTCAATTCCAACTGCAATAGGACCATCTTTCTCTTTTATGCTCCCAATGGCAACACCTGCAAATGCCATTGTTTATGAGACAAAAACTATACGAATGATTGATATGGTCAGTTTGAACTTCAACTCTAAACTTGCAAGTCTACTTTATTTCTAATATGTATTACAGGGTGGTTTTTAATTACTGCAACGGTATTCAAGCCTTCATAACTTTCCCAAAACTCGATGAAAACTTCCAAAATTTTGGATTAAATTATTTCAGACGCACAAATTTTATAATAATGCAAAAGTCATTGATTCCACTTCTTTTCATTCCGACGACAGCCGTCAGAGGCTTAGGAAAGGAGCCTACAGCGGCACGGTGACACGAGGGCATTACTTCCGGATGATAATTTTTAAATCGAAGGCAACAAGATCAACCGAAATCACGTTATACTATTTAAGGCGACTACATATGTTTGTCAGTGAAGAAAACTCCCATATAAAGCTTCGCATTCCGATTCGGTCAGGATCTTTGATGGAAACACGGAAAATTGCGAAAAATCCGTTGTTTTCCCCGATTTCCGAACCAAATTCAACTATGAAACCAATCTAAGTAATCAGGATGTTGTCTTAACTTGAATTCTACTTGAAAAGTTCATATACGGTGTTCCAACGAGATTGTGCCACGTTTTACTGTACCAAACACACCCAAGGGAGGCTCAAACTCAATTTTCCGGAGTTGAACTAGGCACAAGACAGGATCCCTTTCTCCTGAGACCTGAATCCAATAAATTATTCAATCTGAGGATGTTGGACCTAGATAGTTTACTCGTGAAATTAACAAGCTTTCATCTATCTGGAGATCAGCCTTCAGAAGATATGGGTACTAATAGGTCAAAACTACCACCGTGCCGCCATAGGCTCTTTTCCGAAGCCTCTGACGGCTGTCGTCGGAGTGAAGTGGAATCAATTGCATTATTATAAATTTTGTGCGTCTGAAATTACTTGATCCAAAATTTTGGAAGTTTTCATCGAGTTTTGTGAAAGTTATGAAGGCTTGAATACCGTTGCAGTAATTAAAAGCCACCCTGTATAGATCCCCACCCAAGCCGTACATTTTGAGCTCAATTATATCGATTCCTGTAAAAGATATCAAAAAAGTGATCAACTGAAAAAATATTTGCCATGTTTTGTTAAAAATTTTATTAGTTGATTGACTTTTTATTTCTACCACAGAAACCGAGATAAAATGACTCAAAGTTAAATGTTAGAAGGGGTCCTTGTATTAGTGTTTCCGGTATTTCGTTTCAAAGTTTTTTATTAGAAGTTGTCAACTACGAGAATCAAGACAATTTTTTCCATAATTTTAAAAGTTTCACATCAAGAAGACACATATATTGAACGTTTTCGGCATTGAAAGTCGATTTACTTCTATTTCTATTTCTAAGATGTGGTAAATTTTTGCCAGGAACCGTTTTTCTGATGTATTCCTTCCCCTAGTCTGTATTTTAGCATATCAGCTGTTTGGCAGGCTGCCAAAAAATGAAACACGACATCTGTTATGACGTGGCACTAACGAAGAAGGGTACTTAAAGTTTTATGATACATCGCAACGGGGCACCCCACTGCGAAAATATATAGACCCAACAGGCACAACTATCTCCACATTTTGAGATCAAATTTTAAATATTCCAGGTTTCATGTGGCGTTCTTCTCAATATATTTTGCATTGTGATCACTGTCATCAACATGAATACATGGGCATATTGGTTATTCAATATGGGAACATATCCAGATTATGCCATACGACATGCAACGAATCTGACGGGAAATTCAACGCAATGTTTTTAAAACCAATTTGAAAATATGTATTCAATGAAATATTTCTTACTTTTATAATGCCAGAGAGTCTATGATTAGCTGGCTGTATGGTTGATATACTGTAGTTGCTCTAATAGAACCTCCATATACGTGCACTTTGAGCTCAATTATTCCGCTTTCTACAAGATATATCAAAAATTGGTCAACTGATAAAATATTTACCATAATATCACCAATATTTTATCAGTTGACAGATTTTTAGTATCTTTTAAAAGAACCGAGATAATTGAGCTCAAAGTGCACGAATAGGATAACCTTCCATCAGGGAGGATTTAGAGAGATTTAATATAGAAAAATCGAAACCTCGATGGTTGGGTTGAACAAATCAAAGTTATAAGAGCACATGTTGGACCTTTTTTCCATCCATAGTAGTTTTCTTACCGTTCCTCCCTTCTCGATCCAACTCCAATCCCTCACCGTATCATTCCCCAGAATATCTTATTACACTCTTTTCTTCCTCTCTTCATTCATTACGCAATTTGGAAAGTATCTCCTCGGTCGTCGGATATTGCGTGAACAGTATCAAATGCTCACCCGACTCCCCACTCCCGATTGCTCCGCCTCCAACTCTTCTCCTCTTTCCCGCTCACCGCCCGCACCGCCTGTTGCTTCGGTGGTCCTTTCTTTCCTTCGTAAGCCACGCCCACTTTCTCGGAGACTCCCTTCTCATTCCATTCTCATCGTCTTAACCTACTTTATATTTCATATTTCTGACTCTTTAAAAAATAAACTTTCTATGATTCCCCCACCGGCTTCTCCTCTAAAAAAGAGAAGGGATCTTGCCTTCTGATTGCTTTGATCGCAGTTTTCGTTGGTATTATTCTGTGTGCTGGTCTTCTGACGTGGGTGTTTGTACTTCGTGAAAACGGAGATGGACCTGATGTTGACTGGCAAAATGCGACTAAAGTCCCAACGACCACCACTTCTCAAGCTACTGTATCTACGATGACTACAAAGCTGAAATCCACAACCACTACAACTTCTGCTGAAATCCCCAAAACTGATGCCACCACCACAATGCCGACTTCAATCCCAGAAGCTATCACAAAAGCAGTAACAATGGCTACATCTACTTCAACGACTACAGAAGAAGCAACGACGACAACTACTGCTCAGGAAGTCGTGATGCCAGTTGATGTTGCTTCCATTTTGAAAGAGAAGTCGAGAGAGTTCGAGGTAGGTATTTTGGCCCAACTTCTTTTTATCAACCTACTGTCCACGTGTCCTATCAGTACTTTGTTATCTCTAATGATGGCTTCTAGAAAACAATCAATCATACCAGTTGATAAGATACATATTCCAATTGTTACCTTCTTCTGTCATCAACAGCTCTCTATTTCATTTATCTTTCTTTGTCTCCTAGCGGGGCGTGTGCAATGAGTCATCTCCCATCTAGTTTTACACTTTCTTTCCACATTTCACTTGTCAAAATTCCCTGACTCACACATGACACCACCACCACGATCCGACCGCATAAACATGTATGTTTGTGAATCAGGATGTATTCTACGAAGATTTTTGGGCTAAGAAAAAGAGAAATTGATTGATAGGAAATTGGGTGATAAGCTGGAAATGAAAAAAAAATTGTTGGGTAATCTTTGGTATTGTTCTGAAAAAGAGAGTCAAAATTTTCAAAGTTTTGACACGAAACTTTGAAAATCTCAAATTTGGCCTAGCTTCTCAGAACCAATGTTCTAAATTTACCGTAAACACTAATAGAAGACCACCCAAACCATCATCTTTGTGCTCAATTATTTCGATTCCTGCGAAAGATATCTAAAATATGTCAACTGATAAAATGTTGGCAATATTATCTTTAATAGTTTATCAGTTGACCAATTTTTGTTATCTTTCACAGGAATAGAGATAATTGAGATCAAAGTTGACGGGTCGGTTAGGCTTCGATTGGAGCTTATTTTATCTAATATTTTTTGCAACCCTATTGAAAATCATTTGATCAAGCTTTCCAAAATTGATGTTTTAATTTATCTCGAAAAATGTTTTCAATTTGTTCAGGTAGTTGAAAAATGTGCTCAAATCCAAGTTCTGCCAGTTTCATGCTCCCCATCCCAATCTCCATTGACATCCGAACCATCCCAGTTCCAACCAATTCATTATACTCTCAACATAACAATCCGAGACATCAGGAAGCCAGTTCTGGAAGGTCATATGCAACTTTTCGCCTCGAGTAAGGACCAAGTTCAAGCGATCGCTCTACACGCTTCTAAAATTCATAACATGGAGAACAGGGATCGTGTACATGTCGTCAACTGTAATACAGGTGAGCATCTTGTTTGATGAATTTGCTCCACGGGTCCACCCCCACTGATCACAATGACAGATTAACATGATAATGGGAAAACGAGGAGCAGACGAGGGGCACTTGTTGCGATCTTCCTTTCACTCATTTCTCCTCACATTTTACACACTTTCTGAAGCAAAAAATATGCTCCGTGAGGAAAAATAAGAGAAGAAGGATGGATAGATGGTTGTTTTATAGGTGGCAGGTGAAAGACAAATTGGTTTTTGTTAGGGGTGTCATACTCAAATTTTGACACAGTCAGAAAATAATAAATTAGGGAAATTCGTATTTCTTCTTTGAATTTGACAATTCTAGCTTGCTATGTTTCCGTAAAATTTCAAAGAAATTTGAGGAAATTTAGAGTGAATATTCTAATTGTCAGGTGTTGTGAAAGAGCTTGTTCAGATTTTGAATAAGAACACTCCAGCTTCCGCATGTTTAAACACCCGATTCAAAAATCTAAAAGCTTTTCTTTTAAGTTGAAGGCTTCAACACGTTAAAAAAGACTCCAGCCATCCTCCATCCCCATCATCACTCATCAGAAATGTTATTAGAACTATAGATCATAACTAAACGTCTAAAAAACATTCTAAAAGCACTCTTCTGCTTTTTTTTGGTGCATCAGAAACGGACAGCAGCTGTTCTTAGCCTTCTTTCTCCGGTCATCCAATACTTTTTGTCGTCCTCCGTCTAAATGTTTACGACGGACTGACGCCCTCCCGAGGTGGAGAAGAAGAGCAGAAGCAGAAGGAGATGATAGAAAAGAAAGAAAAGGGTAGAAGAAAATCACTGACCCGTAGGGAATGATTGATTTGATATTAGATGGGTTTGAATTAGATTAGACCACCTGAAATACGTCATTGTTTCTTATAGGATCAATATTTTAGAATCAACTAAATCAGATATGAAAGGACTTACTACCAGGGTATTCAAATGATATTTATTTCGAACTTGCACCTTGCCTATGAACAAAGTTATCCGCCATAAAGCTGCCGATGCGGGCTGGGCCGGGCCTTTCCCGTTTTTTCGGCCCATTTCGTCTATAGCTTCGTTTATAGAAATAATTTTCCAAATAGTATAATTTTATAGTACTCGTCAAGTTCTATAACATCTAGTTCAGTTGATTAGAAATTATTGATTCTAAAAGAAACTGTGTGAGAGCCTATCAGGGTCCGTTTTTGGCACGGTTGGGGTCCGTTTTCGGCCCGTTTGTTTTATTCGAATCTCCGTTTGTTTTCATCTAGACCAGTCCAAATTTGAAATCAGAACTCTCTTAATCAGAATCCCAAACACCTCACTTTTCGATTCCTACACTTCTACATATTCATTTATTTTCTCTTTCTCATTCCTGTCATCACACAGCTGCTGCAATTAATATAAAAGTTTTTGGAAGAGGGACTTGTTCTCTTTCTCGCCTGTAATAATATAAGAAATGCCGCCCGCGCTAACAGAATTGAGAATTTACGATCAGAGGTAGAGAGCTCCAAGGAAGAAGAAGAAGGGAACAGTTGTGGTGGTGACACCCGAGTGAAATATGACCAAAGGGTCAGTCGGATACTTTTTCAGGAAAAAAGAGACTTAGGAAAGATTATATAGAAGCTAACAATATATATTTGAAAGCTAAACTAGGTTAAATTCCAGGAGAAACAATCTGCGTGTCTCGAGTGCATCAAATCGACAACATCGTTTATTTGGAGCTTGCTCAAAGTATCTCATCTGGAGTTGATCTCCGTATCGACATCAATGGTTTCATTTCGGCTGATTCTGGACCACATGTATATAAACAAATCCCAACCGCAAAATGGAGAGTTCCTCAAATGATTGGATCTATTTTCGAACCATCCTCGGCTCGTCACGTCTTCCCATCCCTTGATCTTCACAACCAGAAGGCCACCTTCAATTTGTGCTTGAATCATGGACCATCAATGGTTGCTGTCTCCAATTCTCTCATCAATCAAAACGTCTCAACTTCTGGAATCACCTGTTTTGAAAAGACAGTTCCGTTGACAGCTCAACAACTTTCATTTGTTGCTTTCGAGAAGACAAACCCATTGTTCTACAATACTACAACATTGAACGGAGCGTATCTTCCGGAGATTAATATGATTTTCAATTTGAATGCCAAAAACTTCCAACAATACGAATGGATTCATTCTGAAGTATCAAAAGTGATGTCTCTAATGTCCAAATGGTCCGGTTTCTCTTATCCATTGCCTAGATTAGAAGTGGTCGTTGCTCCAGTTATGACTGGACATTCTGCTCTTGGAGTGATCACTTTACCGGTAAGTTCAGTTTTCTTCAACGGCATTATCAGAAGTACCTGTTTTTCAGGCCCAAGCAATTGCTTATCAAAAGCATACCTCCACCCATGAAACCCTAATCAAAGAAGTAATCGGACAGTGGATGGAAGGAGTAGTGACCACGGAACACACATGTTTTGAGGTTAGTTTTGAAATCCGACACCTCGTTTCATCGCTCCACTTCTCTTTTGATTTTATTCGATTCGAATCACACAAAGTGTAGCTCTCTGGGAGAGAAGTTGAAGAAATCCCGAATTGTTAAACACACATGTTATGATATTGAACGTCGTGTAATCCATCATAAAATCGCCAAGTCGCTCCATTTCCTTTGATTGTAATAATAATAACCGGATGAAATGGTTGACAGCGGTTTTGGGTGGAATGCAACTTTTCGCTCGCAATCGACAACCCCACCCGTTTTGTCTACTAGGGTTTCTCTCTCACTCCTTTTCCTCTATGAAAACAACCTCGCTCCCTACCACCGCACGGATGGCCGAGTGGTCTAAGGCGCCAGACTCAAGCGTCAGCTTGCCTCAAGTTCGAGGTCTACTGGGTGTTCTGGTACTCGTATGGGTGCGTGGGTTCGAATCCCACTTCGTGCAGATTCTTTTGCATACCTCAAGTCTATTTTTATAAAAACAACAACGATACTGCGGTAAATTGAGCTGATTACGTCAAGTGGATACATCTCTTTGTACAAGTGCGCTAATCTTCTGTGCCAATAAGCGCGGCTGTCTTTTTTTCTGCTCCGCAACATATTCTTTTTGTCAACTTCGCACCTATCCGACTCGAGTTTCTCAAGGGATCAGATCATAAACTCTTTGGTGTGGTTGGGAAGGGAGGACCCGAGATAGTTTTCGCTTAGTTTACAAAAAGTGCTGTTCGCCTCTCGAGAAATGACCCACCAGACATGAGAACGAGAGAGTATGTAGAAGATGGAGACGCAGAAAAATAGCAGTTGCGCAATGCACAAAAGGTCACCAGACGTCTTCTAGAAGAGGGGGAGCACATACAATTTATCGTTTTTTGAATAGAGAGCAACTGTATCAACTAGTAAGTAGAGAAGGAGAAGAGAGAGTGGATATATGATATATTAGATCGAAAGACAGAGTCAATAAGAATGCAATTTCAGAAAGCCGTAATCGCATATCTCGAATGGAAAATCAACGAAGAACTTCAAATTGTGAAGAAGACTAGAAAGATGGAAGTTTCTCGAATCCGTCCACGTAATTTGAATGAGACTGCTGACCAACTCCGCGTAATTCGTCAGGTCAAAGCACAGAGCTCCAATCTGTGCTCCCCAAGATTCGTCGAAGTATTCTACACGCTTGATGAGACTTATGGACAGGATACCGTTGTTGGAATGATTCGAGTGGTAATTTGTTGTTACAGTAATCTCCAAAGCTATCAATAATTTTATTTCAGATCTTTGACAAGTTTGCTTTCTCCACTGCCACCATTTCTGATTGGGCATCAGCCGCTGAAACTGCCGCTGGAGGTCGTCCAGAAGCTGGAGCAATTATCCTTGAATGGTACCGCCCATCTTCTAAAATTTCCCGCCCAGTTCTCCGCGCTACCGTATCATCCAATAGTGTCGAGTTCAATCAGTTGACTGAGAACAATTGGACAGTTCCACTTGAAATTTCTGGCTCTGCCGGTACTCAATTGGCTGTGATCTCAGAGAAAAAACAAACTGTTCCATTTGTTTCAACTGATTATGTTGTTGTGGATGCTAATCGAAAGTCTCATGCCTTCGTTGTATACGATGTAAGAATGAAATCAAAAAAAAAAAATAATAATACAAAAATTTCTAAATTTTTCAGGCTGACACATATCTCCGATTGATCAGATGTTTCGGCGATTCAAGATGTCCATCTGGAGAAATCGGTGGAATTTTCTCGGATCTTGGAGCTGCTCTTCTTGCCAATATTCTTAAAAAACCAGAGAATCAGGATGTGGCAAAATGGAAGTCTGTCTTCAAGGTAAAAATAATAAAAAGCTCAAATGCAAATTTATCTGTATTTTTTTTCAGTTCATGGCCCAACAGAATCTTGTCGAGGGAACAGCGGCATGTTGTGTGGAGCACGCGATTCGGGAAATGAGAAAGTGCTCGTACTGGGATATTCAGGATGTGTGCACCAAAATTGATTTCAACACAGTTTTGGCAGCAGTTGCCTAAATTCTTCATTTGAAGTTTCACCTGTCATTCAAACGCTGTAAAACCTGTAATAGAAGGGCCTTCCACACTGTCAAGTTTGAGCTCAATTAGCTCAATTCCTATGCAAGATATCGAAAAGATGTGTCAGTTAACGAAACGTTCTGATATTATGATAAACCTCTTTTTCAGAAAACCAGAAAAACTGGCTCAAAGTTGACAGTTACAGGGCCCTTCTATTAGAGGTTTTACGGTAATTGAAGTTTATTTCCTTTTTTCCATCTCTCTTCTCCGTTGTGATTTTTTCTCTTCCATCCACATTGTCTTAAATTTCAGTCAAGAAACAATTTCTTTCCCTCTCTTTCATACCCTTTTTCTTCTTCTATTTCCCCTCTCTCCGATACTCATTTTTCTTGTTCCCTATTCTCTGATTTTCTGCTCAACTCCACCATTCTACCTGTGTTCATTTTTATGTTCATAGAACGTCAAACATCACCTCATTTTGAGAGATTCTATTTTTATACCCTTATTCATGTACAATCAAACAGTAAAAGTTCAAAAATAAAATGATAAGCGATTTAAACATGGAGCACATAAAGAAGCAGGAGCAAATTCGCCCTACTGCTAAAACTTCTATTTCTTATTCAATTCTATCCATTTTACCAAATTAAAGAGACTACAAACCACGGAACAGATAATTTTCCCCTATTACACAGAATGTGTTTGGTTTATTGATCTTTGTGTCTATTTGTTAGAGAGACACTCCCATTTATGTTACTCATGAGTATGCACACTGTCTTTTTTCTAGTTCTCTCATTTTCCATTTCAACTAGAAAGTATTTCGAAAATGCGACCTGTTAAAGTAAGTCTATAGAAACCATAATAATATTTTACAGTAATTCTTCAGAAACTTTTCTCTGAAAACGAACTGGATTCTGATGTGGTACTAGAGAAAGTCATCCAATTAGGTGCGGATTTCATAGGTGGAGAATGGAAAAGTGTAGACAAAAATCAAGTAAAAGTCACAAAGATTTTGTGAGTCCTGAAGTAAAAGTTCTAGATTGTGATCGTTAATTTTTAAAGAGGTGGTCAATCGAACCACATGTTCCATGTGACGTCTTCTACTGATGCCAAGGAATATCTTCTCAGACTTCATCGTTTAGGAGGGAATCATGTATTCACTGATACGGTGAATTTCGCGATTTTCTCTGGTAATAATTGCTTTGTATAAGAACATTGAATCAAAAATTTAGAAAGAGAACTGGGGCCCAAACTCTATGGATTCTTTGATGGAGGAAGAATGGAAGAATATCTTCCAAGTGTCACTTTGGATTCGGATAGGATTTTGGAACAAGAGTTAGTTTTTGATGCATGATTCATTGAAAAAAATTTGTTTCAGAATTTCTCGAAAAGTGGGAGCAACGTTTCCTCGTTACCATGCCATTGACATGCCAATTTCAAAAACTCGCAGATGTTTTCAGGTTATGAGAGAGTCATTGAAAGATTATAGGTGAGTTACATTCCTTTTTTCCCGAGAATATTTAAGTCACCTTGCAAATTAAAGAGCGTATTGGCTAGCCCTATGGTTTCCATAGGTTTCCATGTTTTTTTCAAACAGAATGCTGCTCTTGCACTTTGAACGTATTTATCTCAATTCCTAAGAGAGATATCAACAATACGTCAACTAACAAAATGTTTGTTATGACACCAGCAACGTTTTTGCAGTTTGCAAATATTTGATATTTGATTACAGAAACCAAGATAATTTAGGTAAAAGTGCAAGTATAAGGTTAGGTACAGGAAATACGATATATAACTCTTTGTCGCTGTTATTTTCTATCGAGAAAAAAAAAGCTTCCAAATTTTATGTGAATTTTCCTTCGTGGTTAGCAGATTCATGTCTAGCAGATTTTCGTTTTAAAACTGTGACTTCATTCACAGCGAAAAGACGGTATGTCGACAAGCCGTCAACGACCCGCCCGCATTGCCAAGGCGGCTACTAGGTGGTGTTCACCTGATCCGGCACTCAAAATATTCAAATTTAAGTCAAATTTGAAGATCAAATTTTTCAAACCTGGTATAACCGGAACGAAAATAAAAAATATTTTTGAAAATGTCAGACTCTTAGCTTCCGAATGACAACTTCCAACATTCTTTTGTTAGTCAGAACAAAAACATTCGTAATATTTATAATCCCTGAATCCTAAACCAAGTTCAACTCAAAACTCCTGACGCTCTCTCATCGTGGTCAATCTCTCTCGCATGTCCTTCATTTGCCGGCTGCCAACGATGCGTTTGTGATAACGCACTGAAGTCTTGATTCCGTATACGGTAGATTACGATCTAAATTTTCTATTAGTTTAGGAATTCTGATAAAAAATCACCTGTCTAATCATATAAATGAGCGGAAAAGCACTGATGGCTGCGTAGAGAACCACTGGCCAATGATAGTACTGATACTTTTTGACAATAATTGACATGATTGAGAGCTAAAAGTGTATGGTTTTTGAGAGATCAGAATTATCAACTTACCAAACAAGAAATAGGCAATAGGACGGTCCACATTAGGTACAAAACTACTCGGTTTCTTTCAACAAACCTATAGGTTTTTGGATGACTTTTCAGCATTGTCTGAAATTTTTGTTTAAAAAATCAGTTCGTAGATGAAAGTATACAGTTACCAAAACATTAACAATGAGTCGTTTGTGTCCATAAACAATTGAAACAGAAACCAATTGAATGAAAACTGAAGTTGAAACCAATCCAACCACATAATCATCTAGTTCTAATTCTGTTCTGTATCCAACAATCCCTTTTTTGTACTGTAAAAGTAAAATTAGAAAACTAAATCAACGGCAAAATACTAACTGGTAATCCAGAAATGTAAAGAGCGAGAAGGAAGGTAACTGTAGCCATAATCACACAAATTTTCACTGCTTTTTGCTTCAAGTAAAGAAGACGTGGGAACAAATGATGCAAGAAATTGATGAGAATTTCAAATGTGATGACCTAGAAACTTCATCAAAGGCAAAAAAGGAGAATACTAAGTCGTACCTGATAAGCAACAAAGGCGAAATTGATGGTTCCAAATAATAGAGCATATGCAAAGAAGAGAACAGTATAACTAACTCCGGGGATTGAATAAGAAGGAAGCGCCGAGAAGAAAATTTCAATGGCATGAAATTGAACAAGTTCTCCTTTTGCTGTAGTTCGAATTTAATCCAGAGAACTATCGGATTTTTTTTCTTACCGTATACATTTTTGGCGAATGGATATAAAAGATCGTTTCCAACATAATAAATCGGCAAAAGTCCGAAACATAGCAAAAGACGGTAGGCTGCTCCAGAAGCTGCTAGAAGGAAGGCGTCTCTAGAATTTTTACTTTCAATAAAAACCACGAGATTAGAAATCTCACTTCACAAAGTTATGTCTGAAATCTGCCATGCTACCCAGTGCCATCAATGTTCCATCAGCAATGTAAACTGTCTTTACACTCTGAAATTTTAAAGCATTTCCCTAAATTTTTGAGGTTCACCAACCACTCTTGCAGCATTTAACCATGCCGATTTTTCCATGATTTTACTAATGTTGTTATTCTTGATCATTTCTTTGAAAAAGTTTTTCTTCGCGGACCCAACGTCATAATAGAATAGAATAACGACAGGTAGCATTCCCAGTATTGGAAGAAATACAAAAAAACCGGAAACCTAAAAAAAAAACTATGGACCCTTAAAAAATGTTAATTAAGGTTACAGATGCAAAGAAACGATGTCCTTTGTAGGTAATCAATCCGGCAACTAATAGAAAAGCCAAAGCAGCGACAATGTTATCCATCATGTCCAAGCTAATGATTTCTCTGAAAAAAATTATTTTAGGATCAGGGTGTCCGTCCCCTCTCTTTTATACTTATAAAATTGAGAAGGTATTTGACTAATCAAACGAAGTTCTCGAAATCCAAAGTAGGTCAAGAGCCCATAATCGTGTTGTCTGGAATTTGCAGTTAGCTTTCTTATTACTCTTTTGCTATACTTTTCCAATTTATCCAGTTGTACGTTTGCAATGCATTTTCCGTTTAACCGCCACTCGTTAATTTTACAAGAAATGGTCGGATCGAAACATCGAACTCCTTGATAATCACCACAATGAATCCAATCATCATTTCCTGTGATTACTGTAGTCATACACTTGTAGGCGTAGAGCAGAAAACGGGGATCGAATGCAATGTAGACAGTGTAGACACATCGAAGAGTTAGGGTCAAATAAGGGATTCCTGGTATTTTCGAAAGTTTGAAAAATGATGGATATTCTGCAAACCTCCTAGAATTGGTGCCATTCGAGTATACATTCCGTTCATTGGAATTGAAGAAAACTGGGCTAATGACAATTCGAAAATTGCCATGGGAACTCCCAAAGTGAATAATATGACAAAATAGGGGATCAGAAAGTATACTGAAAACCTCGGGTGATTTCATTGATTAGAAGAAAACTACTTACTTCCCCCATGATTGAAAAAACATTCGATGAATACCAAATTATTTTTTAAAAGAGTCACACAAGTCAGCAGAAGGGAAAGTTGACGGTAGGTGCTTGGTCTGGAGACGTTTCTCGATCCGATTTCCTGCTCTAGTTCTTCTGTTTCGATCTGAAAACTGTTTGATTAGTGAAATCTTCCGAAAGTCCATATTCCTCACCTTTGTGGGATCAACAATCGGATTTCCAGTTGGACTGATTGCCACGTCTTCATCGTTATCAAACTTCTCCAATCCTTCTGGGTGTTCAGATGAACTTTCCGTCGAATCAGCCTTCCGTTTTCTTTTCCTCTTTCTATCGTATCCGTACACAATATTCTGTTCGATTTCTTCTTGAACTAGATTTGCCTGATTCTCTGATTTCTTCTCATCTTCTGTTTTGGCTTCGGAATTTGAATTGATTAATCGTTTACGAATCTGGAAAACGGGCGTGCTAAAGAGTGTTTGGGTCTGAAGATGTTCACCATTTCACACTTGAATTCCTAAAAAGAAGGTGATGATCAACGAAAAAGAAAGTCTTTATGTAGGTGCAACGTTGCTGAAACGTTGGCCGCAGTGTTAATAAAAATTGAAAAATTAATTTGCGTGAACTAAGATGACATAATTAGCTCAAAATGCACTGAAGATCAAGGCTGTGCAAAGGTTGCCTGTTTGAAAATACAACCCAGAAACCACTAGCGCCGCTAGGCCGCTGTATCCTACATATCCTAGTACCCTTGTCAAACTGCGGCCGTGCCACAGCCTTCCTGAAGATTTACTTTTAATTTTTCAGAGATCTTGGTGGCGATGACTATGAGATCATACCAACTACAGTCACATATTCTGAACATCCCGGCAAAGTTAGCATTGAAGATCTTCATAAAGAAATTGATTTGATGGAAAACTGGGCAAATGAATTGTTTGAGGACACTGTAGTTTTCTGTCACAATGACTTGGCTGTAAGTTTGAAATATAGTTTTCCAATTGAAGAATCTGATTTCAGTGTGCAAATATTCTGGAGCTGAATTCCAAAAGAGAACTGGTATTTATCGATTGGGAATTCGCTTCTTACAACTGCAGAGGATTCGATATTGCGATGCATTTGTCTGAAACTGCTGTTGATTTTCGTGATCCAACCCCACCGGGAATCAAATTCAGTGAAGAATTGACTGACAATCCGCCAAACTTGCATGGCTTTGTTGAAGCATACATTAATGCTGATAATGAAGTAAGACAAATTAAAGATACAAAAAATCCGAATACATTTTTTCAGCTAAAAAATCGAATTCCATCGGATCGCTCTGGTGAAATATCAAAACTAATTCAAGAAGTCGAATTCTTTTGGCCAATCACTCATCTTTTCTGGGCTTGTTTTGTTATGAAATTGGCACTTGTCAAGTACAATTGTGGAGTTGATATGGATGTTCAAGCGAAGGACCGATTTGCAATTTATTATCATTTGAAAGGAAGGACCCAGCAGATTTGGGAAAAATTACGAAAACAAAAAAATCAATGAACTACTCGAAACAATTTTTTTTGCGTGTGATAATTCATATCCGCTAATTTTTAAAATTTTCGGTTTTCTTAAAGTTCCGGGAGCAAATAATGTTCAATATTTGACAAAATGTATTTTGTTTGAGATCAAAATAAACCATTTATTGACCTGTTTTATGGTGTGCATACAATAAAAATGTAAATTTCGCAGCCTAGAGAACAAACTGCGATAGCGTCGTTTACATATTTCGGTTTCTGTTTCACACATAATAGTTTTTTCCCAGTTCTACCACATATTCGCTACTGTTTGAAAATGAGAGAAATTGAGGTAAATATTGAAATCCAAAAGATTGTTAATGATTAGAATAAGGTTTCCATTTGGGCGGGTGAAGAAGCGGGCTACCCGCTACCCACCCGGGGGGCTCCCACCCGCGGTCCTCCGCAATTAAATGCGTGTGAATTTTAATAAAATTTTAAAGGATAATCACGTATTTTCCAAGAAAAACTGAGTTTCTCAAATCAAAAAACTACAAAAAAGATAATATTTTCCTCACGTAAATATTCGCGGGGGGTCAACGGGGGGCCGCGGGGGGTGAGCCCCCTGGGTGGGTGCGGGCGGGTGAATCGCCCCCCAAATGGAAACCCTAGATTAGAATTACAGAAGTTCTTCACAGAAAATGATCCAAGTTCTGAAGTGATTCTACAAAAAGTGATCAACCTTGGTGTTGATTTTTTAGGTAGAGAATGGAAGAATACCGATAAAAGTCAAGTGAACGTTAAAAAGATTCTGTAAGTCTTTGCTATATTGTGTTCTACGAAAAGTCAGAATTTTTAGTGGTGGCCAATCAAACCACATTTTCTACATAACGTCTTCTAATTCAGCAAAGGAATACTTGCTAAGAATTCATCGTCAAGAAGATGCACATGTGTTCACGGATACAATCCTTTTTAGCATATTTTCAGGTAATCCAAAATGTAAATATCGTAAAACCTATAATAGAAGGGCCACATAATTTTGAACTTTGGGCCAATTCATCTCGGTTCCTGTCAAAGATATAAACATTATCAACAGATAAATTGTTTATCATTATACCGGAAGTGTTTTGTCAGTTGACACACATTTAATATTATAGGAGCCGAGAAAAGTTAGCTGAAACTTGACAATGTGTGGGGCATTTCTATTACAGGTTTTACAGTATTAGTATTCGTAAAAAACAATACAAAAATCACATCCAAATTGCATATTCAATTCAATTTATACGCAGAACGAGGAATCGGTCCGAAACTATATGGATTCTTTAATGGAGGACGATTAGAAGAATACCTACCCAGTAGAACATTAGATGCTGTATCAGTTTTGAAGCCAGAGTGAAAGCTTCTAAATCTGAAATAAAACCTCCAAAAATCTTCCAGAATATCTCGAAAAATCGGAGAATCGTTTCCCAAATACCATTCCATGAACGTTCCACTCTCCAAAAATCGTCGTTGTTTTCAAGTTATGAGAGATGTTTTACAGCAATATCAGTTTGTTTTTAATACTATCTTTTTCATAGGAATCCTAATTTTACAGAAACCTTGGAGGTGGCGATTTTAATTTATTCCCCACTCATGTCACTTGGACTGATCACCCAGATTCAATTTCCCTTGAGAACTTACAAAAAGAAATCAATCTAATGGAATCTTGGACGAATGAGATTTTTGAGGATACTGTAGTTTTCTGTCACAACGACTTGGCTGTAGGTTTGAAATTTCGTTTTAGTTATGTATATAAAAGTTTCCGTTTAGTGTGCCAATATTTTGGAGCTGAATTCCAATAAAGAACTCGTTTTCATCGATTGGGAATTCGCTTCTTACAATTGCAGAGGATTCGATCTGGAAATGTTTTTGTCTGAAACTTCGATTGCCAGAGGTCTCACATCGACTAAAGCTCAAATAAATCAGGAAATGACCGAACATTCACCGAATCTTTATGGAATCTGTGAAGCATATGTAGATGCAGATTATAAGGTTTAGCCTGTTTGTTTAAGTATTTAAAAATAAATGTTTAGCTGAAAAATCTGGAGCCATCGAATCGATCAGCTGAAATTTCAAAATTGATGAAAGAATGCAACTTTTTCACTCCAATTACTCATCTCTTCTGGGCTTGTTTTTTGATGAAAATCGGATTAATCAATTATATTCCTGGAGCTGATATCAATATGCGAGCAAGGGATAGATTGGCAGTATATTTTCATTTGAAGCCAAGGTCTCAAAAAATCTATGAGGAATTCAGAGATAAATAAGTGACTACTTTCTTATCAAATATCATTTAAAAACCTTTAGTGATCAAATGTTTGTTTATTTGTTCGCTTCAATGAAAACCATGTGATTTCTTTCTTGTCGACATTCGATTTTTCTTTCTTGCAATACATTTTTATTTGGATTCGCTAAATAATGTCTGAAATTGAGGTCTAGCCAAGTTCAAATCTGTAAAAATGCGTTTTTAAATTCCAGAGACTGTTCAAACAGAATGCAATCAATTCTGATGTAATTAAGAAAAAGTTAATTGAGTTAGGAGAATCATTTTTGGGTGGAGAATGGAAGAATGTCACTTTAGATCAAGTCCATGTTCCTCGGTTACTGTGGGTTATAAACAATTTTCAGAAAAAAATTTCATTTCAAGAAGTGGACAATCAAACTATTTGTATCATGTGACGTCATCTACTTCTGCCACACCATATCTTCTAAGAATTCACCGGCAAGAACGAAGTCAAGTTTTCACGGACACTGTTTTATTTGCCATTCTTTCTGGTGAGACTACTTTTAAACAGGAAACATCAAAAATATTCAGAACGAGGACTTGGTCCAAAACTCTACGGCTTTTTTGAAGGAGGACGTTTGGAAGAATACCTTCCAAGTGAAGGATTCACTGAAGATGATTATTGGAAACCTGGGTGAGTTTTTTTTTTGAAGACCAGACGACCTGAGAAGACTTCTTGAAGATTCGTTCAAAGAATTGGTGCAGCACTTCCTGCATGTCATGCAATGGATATTCCAGTTTCAAAAAATGTTCGGTGCGCCAAATTAATGAGAGATTGGTTGAATGGATATAAGTAAGATTGAGATTCATAAATTCAAAATTCAGAAATTAGTTTTAAGAGAACTTGAAGGAGGGGATTACGAAATTCTACCAACCACCGTAACCTATTCTGATCATCCAAAAACAATTTCGGTTCAGAAATTGAGTGAAGAAATTGACACCTTTGAGAAATGGGCAAGAGAAGTTTTCGAGCACACTTTGGTTTTTGGACAAATTGATTTTGGGGTGAGTTTCCATGCCATAAAAGACATTAATGTTGTTTTCAGGTGTCAAATGTTCTGGAGCTGAATTCTACAAAAGAAATGGTTTTCATTGATTGCGAGTTCTCATCATACAATTGGAGAGGGTTTGATCTTGCAATGTTTGTATCTGAATCGGCAATCACATTCAATGTTCCATTTCCACCTGGAATAAAAATCATTGAAGATCTGACTGATAACTCTCCCATCATTCGTATTCTATGCGAAGCTTATCTAGATGCTGATAATACGGTTCAAATAGAAACTAGCAAATACCTAATGATTCTATTTTTCAGCTCAAAAATCATATTCCCTCTGATCGATCCTCTGAACTGGAGTCTCTAATCCAGGAGTGTCTCTTCTTCTGGCCTCTCACTCATTTATTCTGGGCACTCTCTGCTATGAAACATGCACTTTTAAAATTTGAAAACGGGGTGGATTTAGATGTTCAAGCTCGGGATAGATTGGCAGTTTATTTTCATTTGAAACCAAGATCTCAAAAAATTTACGAAGAGTTGAAAAAGTGGAAGAAGGCACTTTGAAATGTTTTTGATCTATGTTGTGTTCTTGTTCAAAGAGAAATAAAATAAATGTAATATTTATGACTTTTGGTATTCATTTGTCATTTTTATGATTTCTGATTATGTTTTATTCATTCGATTGTGATAAGAATAGAGTTCAAAAAGTCAGATAACCAGTTACAATTGAAAGTGACCCAAATAGCTGACCATACTATTATTTGATTTCTGTGTTCTTTGTTGACAAATGGACATCTGTTACTAATAATTTTTGGCTCTATTCCAGTGTAGAGGACCCAAATAAAATTAGAGGGGTTTTCTTTAGAGAACCGCCTTTGGATAAGAAAATTTCTCCAAATACTGTCCCAAATGGCCAAAAAATGAAAAAAAAAATCAAACAAACATGGAATTAAAAATGCCCTTCTTTAGTCTCTTCGAAAAGGGAATGCCTGAGTCCAAGATGCAAACGCGCTCCATCATTCCCTCTTGTTATTTTGGAGACATTCTTTGTTAGTTTGACATATAAAAGAAAGTAGCTACAGCGATAAGAACCATTGCCTTTTCTAATTTTAATAAACTTTCAGAATAAAAAACCAAAATCTGAAAGTACAACAATCCAAAATGACTGAAATAGAGGTGAGAAACATGGTTTTATTTTGCTGAAATCTTTCCTGATTCCAGAAATTCTTCATTGAACATTCTCCTGATTCTGAAGCGGTTCTTCAAAAAGTGATCGAATTGGGAAGATACTTTTTGGGAGGAGAATGGAAAGACACAGATAAATCGGAAGTTAAAGTAACCAGAATTTTGTGAGTTTGTTTCTTTTCTAATTAAAATTTATAAGGCAATTTTCAGAGGTGGACAATCTAATCACATGTTCCACGTGACGTCATCCACTTCTGCCACACCATATCTTCTCAGAATTCATCGTCAACAACCAAGCCAAGTTTTTATAAATACTGTCAATTTCGCCATTTTCTCAGGTAATTTTTGTTTAAATTTCTAGCAATTTTTTTCAAATTTTTCAGAGCGTGGTCTCGGTCCAAAACTGTATGGCTTCTTCGAAGGAGGACGGATGGAAGAATACTTGCCAAGCAGAACATTGAACTTTGACGATGTTCTGAATCCTGAGTTAGTTCATTTAATATAGATTTGTCTGAGAAACATACAATTCAGAATTTCCCAAAAGATTGGTACCGTATTCCCTCCGTATCATGCCATCAAAGTTCCAGTATCCCAAAATAGAAGATGTATTCAGTTGATGAGAGATTGGCTTGATGGTTACAAGTGAGCCTCGTTTCTTTTTTCATTAGTCGACTTTTCCGATTTTCAGATCTCTGGGAGGTGGAGATTATGAAATTCTGCCAACTACCGTAACTTATTCTGATCATCCAAAATGTGTATCAGTGGACGATTTGACAAATGAGATAAATATTTTTGAAAAGTGGTCCACCGAACTGTACGAGAATACCTTGGTATTCAGTCATAACGATTTGGCGGTGAGTTTTATTATGGAGGAGAATAAAAATTTCTCTCAAATTTTCAGAGTGGCAACATTTTGGAACTCAACTCTACAAAGGAATTGGTTCTCATTGATTGGGAATTCGGTACTTATAATTGGAGAGGATTCGATTTGGCAATGCATTTGTCTGAGACTGCGATAGACTTCCGTGTTCCATTCCCTCCTGGAATCAAGATCATTGAGAATTTAACTGAAAATCCTCCGAATATTCGTGTATTCTGTGAAGCATATCTAGATGCTGATAATAAGGTTTTTGAATTTAGAGAAAATGAAAATTGACTATTTTAATTTTCGCTCAAGAACCATATTCCTTCCGATAGATCATCTGAACTGGAGTCTCTAATCCAGGAGTGTCTCTTCTTCTGGCCTCTCACTCATTTATTCTGGGCACTCTCTGCTATGAAACATGCACTTTTAAAATTCGAAAACGGGGTGGATTTAGATGTTCAAGCACGGGATAGATTGGCAGTTTATTTTCATTTGAAACCAAGATCTCAAAAAATTTACGAAGAATTGAGCAAGAAAGGATAATGTTGTTTTTAATTGATTCTTGAAATAAAATGTTTGTTGATTGTGAATAATTGTATTTTTGTGGTTAAGATTACTCGAGCGTTGCCGGAAACATCTGCAGGAGAACAGTGAAAATTAAATGACGAATCCGACGGTAAAAAATCAATAATCGAAGTTTAGCCTAGACTTGTGGCTTTCCAGCTCTTAGCCTTGATTTGTGAGAGCCACCACCATGGCTTTTAGACGCGCATACGTTTGCCAAGACTTGTAAATCAGGGAAGTTTGTCTAAGTATTCGCACCCACAACCGAGATGGTTGGAGGTTAGTCCGATTCCGGATAAGACAGATACGAAAGTCATGTTTGCCAAACGTTTGACAAGGTTCGGAACTAGTAGTAACTCAACTTTCAGCTTCCGTCCGTAATCTGACGATGGCCCGCTGTACATCCGTTTTTAGGCATGCTCCGACTAATACCTGGCCAATACCCGTCCAACCGTCCTTAACTCGTGGCCAACCAACAACCGAATAAACTTTCATTTTCAAAACCAAATTTTTCATTCAAATTGGTTGCAAGATATAAGACAAAAGAAATAAGCTCTCAAACACCAAAATCCTGTCAAAACATAACTTTCACTTTCTCACAATCAAAACATTCTGTGCCTGAACAGACTCGCATGTTTTAGTTGCATTATAAAAGCTTTTGGATTCGTCATAGTCTTGAAGGTTTTCGAGATATGATCTAATATAAGCTCCGCCCACCATCCCTTGAATCAAAAGCTCGGATTTTATCATTCCGACAGATCTTTTTTCGTTGGCTTTGCACTTTATTTAAATCTTAAAAATGAATGCTATCGAGGTTCGTTGCTTCAATTTTCTTCTCAGATTTCGGAATGTTTTCAGAATATATTCACAAACAATCCTCTGGATTCTGACGAAATTCTTCAAAAAGTAATCGAATTGGGAATTGAGTATTTGGGCGAAAAGTGGAAGAATGTGGATAAAAATCAGATTACAGTTACAAAAATAATGTTTGTTGGAACACTAAAAGTCAAAATTAGCAGTTGATAATGCAAAACATTTTAGGGGTGGTCAATCAAATCACATGTTCCACGTGTCATCTTCTACATCTGCCACACCATATTTCCTTCGAATTCATAAGCAAGGACAAAGCCAATTCTTCACAGATGTTGTCAATTTTGCAATCTTTTCAGGTTAGACATTTTGGAACTTTCACTAGTTAATATTTTTTCAAGAGCGTGGACTTGGACCTAAACGTTACGGATTTTTTGATGGAGGAAGAATGGAAGAGTTCCTTCCGAGTAGAACACTAAAACCAGAAAACGTTCTGAATCCAGAGTAAATTACATTCATATTACTGATCAAGATCTGAACTCTAAATTGCAGAATATCTCGGAAAATCGGAGCAGCTTTTCCTCTATACCACTCAATCAAAATTCCAGTTTCTAAAAGTCGTCGTTGCTTTCAGATTATGAGGGAATCTCTCAAAGGATACATGTACATTTTTAATTGATTTTTTAGATGAAATTTTATATTTTTCAGCGATCTTGGTGGTCGAAAATATGCAGTCTTCCCAGTGACTTATTCTGATCATCCTATGACAATTTCTCCGGACGATCTTCTAAAAGAAATTAACGTGATGGAATGATGGTCAATGGAACTATATGAGAATAGTTTGGTTTTCTGCCATAATGATTTGACAGTATCTTCTTTTTTTAATTTTTGAATATCTAGATTTTTTAGTGTTCCAACATTCTACAACTGAATTCGAACAACGAAATTATGTTCATTGATTGGGAATTTGCTAGCTACAACTGTAGAGGTTATGATTTGGCAATGCATTTATCGGAATCTGCAATTATTCGAACTGCATCTCCATGTGGAATCCAAATCAATGAAATCTTTACGGACAACCCTCCAAATCTTCGTCCCTTCTGTGAAGTCTACGTAGATTCCGAAAACTTGGTGGGTCTTGAAGCTTCCTAAACTTCATAACTCGTTTCTTCTTTCAGCTCAAAAATCGCACGTCTGCATATCGTGATCTGGAAATCGAAAACCTGATTAAAGAGTGTCAATTCTACTGGCCAATAACTCATTTATTCTGGGCTTGTCTGATCATGAAATTGGGACGAATGGAGTGCAATAAAGACATTGATATGGATATCATGGCACGGGACAGGCTGGCAGTCTATTATCCTTTGAAGCTGAGAGCCCAAGAGATTTATGAGAAACTGAAGTTTGCCAAATAATCTGTAATTATTTCTATGTATCATTCGTTGTGCACAGTGATCTAACTACTGTTCTATGAGGTTGCGCTCTGATGAGAAGGGTTTAGCTGGAAATTTATTTATACTCCTGGTTACAATTAAATATTGTTCTCTGTGTCTCTCACTATGTTGAACTAAAATTGTATTCTCTCGCTCCCAATTTATTTGTTTCCCCGTCAGCTTAAAACTTTGCCACGCCCCTTCTCATTGGAGCGCAACAGCATACCACAGCAATTCAAACCTGGTGATTATTGTCCCAGTTATCCAACTTATAAACTTTGTTCCACGTTCTACTGCGCCGATTTGAATAAAACAAAAAACAAACAAAGCTTTCAGTGGAATCGCAATTATTTTCATACGATCGGAATTCATAAACGAATTGAATTAAAAAGAGGGAAAAATCAAGGATGCAATCTTCGGACGAAGGAGAAGATCCATTGCCAAAGGATGAAGAAGAACTGAAAACTAAAAAAGATAGATACAAAGTGTTGAAGCTTCTCGGAAGAGGTGGATACGGTGCCGTTTATTCTGTTCTCCGCCTCTCGGATTCGGAAAAATTTGCAATAAAATGCGAGAATGCGTCGGCCGTTCGGAAATCCCTCTACATGGATTGTAATGTTTTGAAAGGAGCCGCGCAAATTAGAAGTCGTCATTTCTGCACAGTCATTGATCAGGCTGCTGTCAAGGATCGTTTCAATTTCATCGTTATGAAGCTAATTGGAAAGAATCTTTGGGATTTGAGAATGGATACTCCGGAATGTAGATTTTCATTGGGGACTGCTCTAAAAGCCGCTGCTCAGTGTTTGATTTCCATCGAACAGTTGCATAGAGTAAGAGTTTCAAAATTAATTTATCTAAAAAAAAATAAAATATTTCAGTTTGGTTATCTACATCGTGACATAAAACCCGGAAACTTCGCAGCTGGCCGAGTAGAATCCAACGAACATCACACAATTTTCATGCTAGATTTCGGATTATGTCGTGAATTTGTGAAAAGAGAAGAGGGGAAAATAAGAACTCAGAGAAAATCGGCTCCATTCAGAGGAACTACTCGTTACGCTCCTTTAAATTCAATGTTAGAACTGGATACTGGACGGAAGGATGATATTGAATCATGGCTTTATATGGTTGTAGAATGGACTTCAGGAGGGTTGCCATGGAGAAAATTGAAGGCGTCAGACAGAGACAAGGTTCTTCGATTCAAAAAAGAGTTGAGAAGCAAGGATGAGATTATTGAGGATATGTATTACAATTGTCCGAGAAAGGAGTTCCACAGAATTCTCAAGGTACCAAATTCAAAATTTAATGAGGTCCTATATTTGAAAATTTTCAGTACACCGACAGTCTGGATTTCTACTCGCAGCCTGATTATCAATTCGTTTATTTCTGTATCCAGCACGCAGCCACAGCCAACAAAATCAAGGATGCGGATCCGATAGACTGGGATCCAGATGTTCCTTACATTGGACCCATCGAAGTTCCAGGCGATGGAAAAGTGATAGATTTGGAAGTGGAGATGAGAATGTCAGCTGAAGGATCAAACAATAAGACTAAAAAGGAAAAGGATAGTATGAAAAGACAGAAGAAAAAGGAAGAAAAGGAAGATGCCAAGAATAGAACGAAGAAAAGAGAAGCAAAGAAAAGTGAGAAGGAGAAAAAAGAAAAGACGAAAAAGGAATCTTCTGGAGCTAATGCATCTAAAAAATCAGAGAATAAAACTTGAATTTTCTTTGTGTAATCGTATCATTATCGTAATAAATCAGTTCAGTATAATTTCTCAGAAAGCCTTTCGTTGTGTCCAACCAAATTATTATTTTGCGAAAATGGTTTCAATCCATTCTTTTTGCCGCGCCTTTGGCGTTTCAAACCGCTGGCTGGTGCGCCTTCGGCGCGATTTGACCTATTTTTATTGATTGAACTTTTTTTGGAAGTCACGTCAAATTATACTTAACTTTCAAAAATCCGCCGTGACCTAGGTTTCTCACTGCGCGGCAACTGAAAGACCCGTACTCCGGGGGTACATCAAAAGAGGGTACATCGAGGGTACATAATGCTCATACGGTACATTGACTGAAGGGGTACATCTAGGTAATTGTCTCACTATAAGGGGCTACATCTATGTCAATCTCAGATATATCAATTTCTAGGCTAGTCTACTACCTAGATGTACCTTTTCAGACTGTGTAACCCCGTCAGTCAATGTACCCCCTGAGCATGACGTACCCTATTTTGATGTACCCCTGGAGTATCGGCCCAACTCAAATCTTCGTTCCTATTCGTTACCATAATTGTAGGTCAAAAGCTAACTGTAGTCACGTTGAATTTTCGAATGTTTCAAGATCACGAAACGTGACACCCTAATAGCCTAAGTCGAAAGATTTGGAGCACTGATAGTAAGGGTTGCATAAGAGCAGTTGATCTCTGGAAAGAACAATCAGTTCGAATTTTCCCTTTCGATACACCCAATCGTATAATCTACGACCAAACGCCGAAACGACAATGAGTCCCCTCGACTATCTCCATTTGACTCTGCTGATCATTGGACCAATTGCTCTTCTTGTTGGATGCGGTGGAAAGAAGAAAGCACCGTTAGTTTGAAACATCTCTTAAGTAATTTTAAAGGAAATGGTTTTTCAGACCACCAAAATCGGCCTCCAAGATGGCACCACCTCCACCGGCTCCTGTTGCTCCCGCTGCTCCAGATGCTGCCGACGCAGCTCCGGATGCAGCTGCTGCTCCAGCTGCTGATGGTGAAAAGAAGGACGGTGAGAAGAAGAGTGAGAAGAAGGATGTAGAAGAAAAGAAGGATGAAAAGAAGGAAGGAGATGAGAAGAAGGATGGAGAGAAGAAGGAAGAAGAAAAGAAGGATGGTGATAAGAAGAGTGAGAAGAAGGAAGGAGATAAGAAGTCGGAGAAGAAGGACGAAAAGAAGGAAGATGATAAGAAGGAAGGAGACGACAAGAAGGATGGAGAGAAGAAGGACGAGGAGAAGAAGTCTGACAAGAAGGATGACAAGAAGAACGAGAAGAAGGAAAAGTCTAAGAAATCCAAGAAGTCCAACAAGTCAAAGAAATCAAAGAGGGAAAAGAAGGACGGTGATAAGAAGGACGACGAAAAGAAGGATGATGACAAGAAGGAAGACGATAAGAAGGACGAAAAGAAGGATGACGAGAAGAAGGACGACGAGAAGAAGGACGACGTATGTTTGAAGTTAAGCGAGTTTTGACCTTAAAACTTTGTATTTGCAGGACAAGAAGGACGACGAAAAGAAGGAGTAGATATCGTCTTAAAGTCTCTTTTTTCTTCCTCAATAAAGTGATATCTATTATTTGTGTCTTGTGTTGGTTAATCATGATATGCATAAAATGTCTAGATCAAGTCTGAAATCCAAATAAGTTGAAAAATCTCCACACACCAAAGAAGAACGAAAATTTTGAAGATATCTCGGGTCCAAGACAACGGGTCAAAAAACGGGCCCAAATAACTTTTAGGCCAGAAGAATTTTAATAACAAGCTGGTGCGCCATTCAATCTAGTTTTTTTATTGGTTCGCCGCTCTTTTTCTTAAAGTGTCACGTCAATTTATAATTATTTTTCAAGCTTTTCAAAAGACGACAGCCTGACATGGGGACCAACAGACGCCTCTAGCGTATATATATATATATATATATATATAAAGAAGATTTCAAAGTTGATGTGGATTTTACCTAATTAATTATGTATAATCAACGAGTTGCAACGCGTGGTTTTTTTGCCCAACGTTTAAAAGTTTGATCCTCGCAATTCATCAGTTCACAACTTCTTCATATCTTTGACAGAAATCAAGGATAACTGACTCAAGACTCAAGGCTAGAGTTAGGAGGTCATTCTATCACAGATTTACTGTGTTTTTTGTAGCAGTACAAAAACTCGAGATGATTTTTGTTTATTTTAAATGTATATGAGATTCCTACATTCAATTAACACTTTTAAATTCTATCGAATTCCCTCACACGACCTTCTTCTCTTCCAAAAGCTGCATAAATCTCTAAACGACCTTCAATGTGCATACCTAATTTGAAAAATCTTTATTCAACTGCGATTCTAACGGTACACAGATGCCAGCTGATCTATTTTCTCTCACAGCTTCTTCTCTTGTTACTGGATCAGGTATTCTGGCAGAAGAGAGAAATAGAGAAGCAAGCAGATGACGACCAAAAACACTTTCGATTTTTATGTGTACGAAAAGGAAAAAACCGACGAAGAAGCCGATAGGCACACGACGATATATGAAAACTTTCGTTTTTTTCCGCTTTTCGGCGATCGGAAAACGAAATGAAATTTGGAAGAAAGTGTAAATTTGTTACAGTTTGGGCATTCCAACAATATCTTGCTTTAACCTGTTCAAGCATGATTTAATTTTGAGCTGGATTTAGGCAATGACTTTGTTTAATCCTTCAGTAAACGCAGTTCGATTTCAGAAAAGAGACAATTGGATTTCTGTCAAATGAAATTGGGAGCCAAGTGGAGAGCTACAGTAATCCTGGAAAGAAATTATCCGCAAAATAAACTAACCATCATCAGAACACCCTTGATAAACTCATTATATTCAGATTCGAATGATCTTTCATCATGTCTGACCTCGCAATGAAATTCACTTTCAATAAAGCCAGTGCGTAGCCATGACTAAGCCGACAAAGCGTCAGAAAGAGAGGAATCAAAGGGTTAGATATGGGTGGATGTTATTTTGGAATCAGAGGAAAATAATGCCAAGTTAAAATGATACAGGCTAGAAATACTGAAACTGTTCCTCGTTAAGTTACAAAAAATGAACACAAATAATCAACGAATCGGAAAAGTTTGCTCACAGTAATGCCACTGGAGTTCATCTAAATTTCTAGAAAGATATTTTCTTGATGTCAAATCTGACTGACCGTAAAACATGTAATGGGAAGATCACTATCAACTTTGAGAGGATTTCTCGTTGTCTGTGAAAGATTTCGAAAATTGTGAACTAAACATTTATCATAATAGCAAAAACATTTTATTTGTTGAACATTTTTTGATACCTCTCACAGAAATCGAGATAAATTTGTTCGACCTTGATGGTTAAGGGGGTCTTCTATTAGAGGTTTTACGGTACCCACAACTTCTGTAACTGACTGAATCCTATACCGTAAAATCTGTATTAGAGGAGCCACCCCTTCTATTGTTCCAAGTTACCTCCGGAGGGTCCTTCTATTATAGGGGGCCCTTCTACTCTTGTTAGACCTCATCTTGGAGGGCCTGCCTATTAGAGGAGCCCTTCTAATACAGGTTTTACGGTGTACAAGCGGATCAATTGTTATCTGATTTATTTTATTTGAACAGCTAATACTTGCTCATTTGTTTAAACGCCTCCAAATTTTAAAGTTTGGTCAGTATGTTCACCGTGTCTGTCTTATCCCATAAATTCTGGAAATAGGTATGCCTCTCTGTAGCTTTCATCAAAATCTGGAATGTGCTGATGACCACTGTTCGAAAGTGTGAAAAGGACTTGAAAACATGGCCTTCGCCGCTTCAAAAGTTGTAATCCTTCTGATGTTCCCAGATAATGATATTCGCTCATTTCAAGTCAAGGCGAATTCTTTCGTTTCAAACAGAAAACCTAATCCAGTTATCCAAATCGTTGGTTGCCTCCATCTGTTTTTTTTATATTTCGTTCAGTAGTAATTCCGATAACGATCCCTTCACTGTCTCTCTTCACTAGCTTTTTCTTATATTCCGATGCGTTCCCCTCTCTCTTTTTCTCTAACCACTTTCTCATGGAACCGCCCATCTACCTCTCCATCTTTAAGCATTAAGCGAGATGTCATTTTCTTGTATTGCGCAACAGTTTCTATCTCCTTCTTCCGCAAAAAAAAGAAGAAGGAGAAGCCTTGCCTCAACCGCGTGAATCTATTATTTTTGTATCTCTGACAGGTGACTTCTCTTTCCTCTTGTTACGTAACACCTATGTCATTCAAAGATCTTTTTTTTTCTTCAGCTCGGGATACTGTAGTCCTCAACTATTCTTATAATTAGGAGCATACATATTGAATGATCTAATATTCCTTTTATTTTGATTGAAACATATGTCATCGACATTTTTTACAGGGTAGCGCATAATTACCCGGAAAGTTTGTACTAGCAAAATTTTTGAGTAAAGCGTTGCACTGGGCTCAAAATTGATGTGCGATAATTCAAAAATTTGTTAGTAAACTGGCCAAGTTTTAAGTTACTTTATCAAGTTTCAGCTGAGTTATCGTTTGTCAAATTTGCTTCGTCTCATGGTTAAATCACAAGAAACATACGCCGTACATCTTTGGACAATCATAACACTACCTAGACTTAAGAAATCGCTTTGAAAACTTTAGTAGCTTTTAATCATAAATAATTCTACCAATTTTCGTGCCTCCAAGATACTTATGTCTAAAGATATTCCTGCTTCCATCAGTCCGGATAATTGTGCACAACCCTGAAGAGTAGAAATCAGCAAACTAGATAAATCAGTGTTTTAAATACATTTAGTCTTTTCTGAAAACTCTTACCGTTCTAAAAGACTGGGTTTATTCAGTCCCATTTTTTTCACTTTCCGTTTCAGTTTCTCACGGTTTCCTCTAGTGAGAATGTAGGTTGTAGACAAATGGGTGGAAGAAGCACCACTTGAAATAATGTAAAGAACGTCTGACTGGGTAAAAATTGAGACGGAATGGACAGGTTATCCGGCAAATAGCGTCATGATTTTAAGAGTATTCTCAGGAGACCAACAACGTTTATATTCTGGATAGATTTCAAATATTTCTGTTGTTTTTAAGCATTTGGAAAAATATGTTATATTTTTCCCAGGAATTGAGATAATTAAGCTGAAAGTTAACAGTTTAGGAGGGCTAATGTTAGAGAAAATACGGTAATTGAGAGACTTTTGCATTTGTGGGACACTAAAAATGTTTGAAATAGGGACGGCTCTCAATTTTTTCTCAAAATTCTAGATTTCCAATACAAACCCCTTTCTAGGACCCCTATTTCTCTCCAGCTTTCCCTATTGCCAATAGTCGCGGCTATTATTGGCACAACAAATAATGATGAAGTTATTTGATTTATTATAGGCGGAAACTTCTTCTACTTCTTCCTCGAGAAAACGATAACATCTTTATCCCGATATCTTGATTATGTCATTCGTTCTCTCTCTCTCTCTCTCCTCATTTTTCTCGTTTTCCACATTCGCAATTGGTGATCAGAGGATGATTGAAAAAGGAAACAAAGCCGATTATTGGCATTAAAAAGAACCAAGGAAAAACAGAATGGGAACGGGTGTCTTGACAAGGAAGTGAAATATTGATATTAGAACGATAACCCAATACCCAAATTCGGACCTCTTTTTTAAAAAGTCATACATTTTTTGAAAGTACCGTAATCCTTGTTCCTAGAATTTGGGATTTCGTTTTATGATCATAGACCTCCCTTCTCATTTCCAAATCCTCAAATCCTACACAGTTTTGACCTCAAAAAAAAAACTAAATCTTGCTTCTTTTACATTCGCTGGTAGTTTCAACTGTGGAAATCTCATAATTGTCGCCTTCACTACAGTGAAAACTGTAATATAATGGCGTTCTATTTTTCCGAAAGGTTTTTTTGGGTGGTGCACGATAACAAAAATTGTTTTTTTTGCTCGATTATCATTCGAACTTTTTAAATTCCCCAAAACATTGTTTTTCTACCCCTAATCACCGCATATTCTTCTTGTTTTTTTCTATTTGTTTCCTGTTTAAAAACGATTTCGTAGTTCGGGATTACTGTAGAAATCAGAGATTGTCCAAAAGATGAAAAAAAAGGTTTGGGCGGATCCCTGTCTCCTGCAAAACTGTGAAGATGAGTTTGGCATTGAGATATATAAACCGAGATAAGATAGCAAGAAAACAGTTCCGATTACCAGTCTACGTCACTCATCGGTCTACGGTAGATGAATATAAAACGGTCACAGTTTCAAACCTTTTCAGTTCAGTTCCACATTCCCCCAGACAGATTGTAAATCCTTATTCTTGACAAAGGATTCTCGAACGGAAAGCTCTTCAGAATTTTCTCTAAATTGGACATACCGTAAAACCTGTACATATTAGCCAGCCCTTCTATTTTTCCAAGCCTCCGGAGGGCCCTTCCATTACAGGGGGTCCTTCTATTTTTCCAAACCCCTCTAGGAGCGCCCTTCTATTAGAGAGGCCCTTCTATAAAAGGGACTCTTCTAATAAAAGTTTTACGGTTTCAGTAATCTGAAACACTTTTCGAATTATTTTTAAAAAGAAGTACTAGTATCCAATAGGCAGTATTAAAACACATCCCGACTATCATCCATGTTCCTTATCAAACTTTAGAATCGCGCAATCAGATTACTTGCGACATTCCACTTGTTGACTAATCTTATCCTCTACACCAAACAACAATGGCAACATGCTTCTCCCAAATTACCAGAACTCTACCAGTTTTCGCTTCTCCCCTTCTTCTCCATCTCCACTCCCGATTCTTGCCCCCATCCTATTCCAACATTGCCACAACCATCCCTTTATGATGTCCAGACACTTTTAATGCATTTTCTTTTTCTTCTCATATTCTTTTCTCTTTTCATGATTAAAGCATCTATTTACATTCACAAGGCTTCCGCGCCTTTTTCAGGAAATGAAAGTGGTTTTGCTTACGGTTTTCTGTGTGGTTTAGTTTCCGTATTTGTATTGTCCAATACAATAAAAAGCCCATTTCTTCCCTGGCTGTATCATTCTATCTGAATTTAGAAGTACATTTTCAGATGCTCGTTTTACTCATTGCATTCCTGTTTCCCTTGGCAACACAGGCTCAACAAGTCAATGTGACAATCTTCACCGAATCTCAATGCCCATACTGTACCAAGCTTCTTCGAGAACAAATCTGGCCATTCTACGTTAACAGACCTGGAATTATGAACTTGCAGGTTTCGTTTTTCTTTCTTTCGAACCTAATAATCTTGAGAACTTTTTCAGATTGTTCCATTCGGAAAAGGAGATTGTACTTATGACTACAACCGCAACTTCCACTGCACTTGCATGCACGGAGCCACCGAATGTGATCTCAACAGACTTCAGAATTGTGCTATCTCGGTGAGCATCTTGTATTTTGTGTCAATTTAAAAAATTATATAATTTTCAGTACTTCCCACGTCGCCATCTCGGTTTAGTCACTTGTCTCCAAGGACTCACAACTTTGAGAGAAGGTTTCTCAAAGTGCTTGAGCAGACTGTCCCCCAATACTCAGAGGTAAATATTCTAGACTAGACAAGTTGATGATAAGAAGGATTCTAGAAAACTTATCGAATGCGCTACAACTCAAACCGGAGAACTTCTCAACTACTATTCAATGGTGAACACTCACAGAGCTGGAGTTAGAGTGAGTATTGCTCATCTACTAATAAAATTCCCTTTCCTTTTTTTCAGATTTGGCCAACAATGTATGTAAACGGTGTCTTCTTCGATCGTAGCTACCCAGTTGAGCACAAACTCTGTGAGCACACTGCCTGGTGCTAAATCATCAATCTCTTTTTCTTTCTTTGCTTTTTCTCAGGGTTCTGAATTCATAACTTATTGCTCACTATTTGGTTGTCACCTTTTTGGAATATTCGTATTTATTTTTCTCTGAATTGTTTCGCCAGTTCCACTCAAAGTGTTTTTCTTTGTTTCTTGCTTTTTCCATACAAATTGATACACGATAAAGGATTTTTTTCATTCTTCATTGACTTTTGATATGATTACAATTCCAATGAGCGCAGAAAACACTAAAATTCCTATTTGATATGGAAGTTCCAAAGAGTTCAAAAAACTAAATGGATACAATATTTCAGCGATACATGAAGTTTCAGATGGACAATGAAATCTGCCTCGTTTAAGATCAAACTTTGAGAGTGGATTCGTTTGAGGAACATTGAAAAATAGAACAGTGTGTTTTTGTGGTTCAGCAGAAGATTCAGTTGATGACGTGACGACGACCGAATATATGAAACCGTGTGTATGGTAGATGGAGATTGTAGTGAAACCACAGTATGTGGCATTTGGAGTGAGATACCTGGAGTTCAATTTAGATAATTGAATTCATTAGAATAGTAACTTACAGAATTGGAACTTGACAAACTGGAGAATTCCTGCAATTACAGACAAAAATGTCCAATAGAAATGGAGGGGAACACTCCTGAATTTCTTTTTTTACTACGACATTTTTAAGCAAAAAACTCACATTGCTTTTCAGTAAACTGGTACTGTTCACACCAAACGGGAATATAGGAAATATATCTGGAAAAATAAACAGAAAATTTTGAAAAGACAAAGCTGTTAAGTTACTGGTGTCGTTCTCTCCTCCAACGAAAATGGTTTCGTAGATGGTGTAGTTTTTACAAAAATTGGATTCCAGATTAAGCGAATCTGTTGAGTTTTGGGAAATTTCCAATTTTGAAACTTCTACTTGCTCTCGGTATTCTTGAGCAATTTGAGTGTCAATCTAAACGAAATTATTATCGTTTTTTTTTAAACATCCTTACTGAAACATCTTCAATGTCGAAGAATATTGAGTTGTTACCACTTCTTCGAATTCCAACAACTACATTTTGACATATATTTCCACTTTGGTGAGGAATGATACACTCAACATTTCCTTTCTCTCCGTGGAAACACTCTTCAGATTCGCCATGATTTATCCAAAAAATATAGGAAAGTTGTGAGGTTCCGAGACATTCCGAAGAAGTTACAACAGTGAAACATTGATTAGATGACTCCAATATTGGACAAGTCCAGCTGAGTGTTCTGTTCGAATCAATGGTGAATACAACATTAAATATGTAGTTCTCATATAAAATACCTTTCGAGTTGAGAAGATAGGACCGGATACTGTAGTTCTTCAAGTGGGAAGGAATTCTTTGTATTCTCAGCTGTCTTCTCCAAATAGTTATCAAAAAAAGAGTCGATCAAAGTAGGAAAACCACCGACTATTCGGAATGGATCAAAACTAAAAAGAAAAATATTCTACGAAATCTCTCATTGGTTACCATAATCGGATAGGAAGTTCCCAATTTCCAAACAATTTGTAGCAGAACAGGGAAAGCAGAATGTTACAAATTATAGTAAATCTCATAATGTTACCGGTGTCTGTTTATTGCACTTGTTTCTTGTCTTCTTATTTTTCTTCCTTCCCGTTCCCATGGTGACCTCTTCTCCTTCTTCTTTGCAGAATATTGGGTTTTAAAGGCGGGATGCAAATGTGCTCGATTGACACACGCACGCGCTACGCTGCGCGTTTGAACGCAAAGATTACTGATTCGAAAAGTGAACCATTTTGGCTTGAGTTTCGAGGTTTTGATATTGTTTTCTGTTGAAAATTAAACTTGGGGAAAAAAAGTACGAAAAAACCTGGAATTAAACTAAAACTTGTGTTCTGTCACCTCTACTTGTCCCACACGGGTGTCTATTACAGCTCTGGATTTTCGTTAACGTTTTTCTCTGCGTTCCCTTCTTGTCTTACTCATGACCTGATTTACCATTTTGTTTTCAGAAAATGACGACCAAAACATTGTCTCAAACATACGGTCCCCGACCACAAAGTTTCAGTCTCGATGAAACTGGAGAGCGGTACTACATCGGATCCGAAATCGGTGCATTTTGAGACTTCATCGTGGAACCCTTTACAAAAAGTACCCATTGCTATGGCGGAAAGTCGCTACTTCGGATGACAAGGATAAACTGAAGCAGATTGCTATGTCCAATGCTTTTCTTCATACTAATATCATGTGGGTGAAAAATTCCAAAATTTAATAGGGAATTCAGAACACCTAAGAATCTTTAATTTGTTTTAATACTTGTGACCTGAATTTAAATGTGGTTAAATTTGCAGGCTTCTGAGAGCTCAAGAAGTTGACGAACTCTTGGATGGATCAGAAGAAAAATATAGAGCTGCCGGTGCTGTTCCATCCACCCCACGAGTTGAAGGAGGTGTATCTCGTACTGCTGCCAAGACTCCTGCTGCCGGATGGGCAGGGCAACAAGTTACTAGTGGTTCCCATCATCTTGAATCCGTTCCATGCTCTTGCCCAATAGCACATTCTCGTGGTCGCATGAAGCATCGCGAATTGGTTTACTCGGCTGAAGATTTGGAAATGTCGAAAAGAGTGATGGAAAACGCCGAGGAAGGAGAAGATCTTGTTCCAATTCGCCTGGATATGGAGTTGGATGGAATCAAGCTACGTGATACATTCTGCTTTAATCGGAACGAGAAGCTGATCACTCCGGAGATGGTCGCAGAGATTATGTGTGAGGACTTGGATCTTCCGTTGGCAGTCTTCCAGCCAGCAATTACTGCTGCGATCAATCAGCAGCTCGAAGCTTCCACCGAAGCTCCTCCACTCGATCCGAATATTTGTGACCAGCGAGCTGTTTTGAAACTGAACATCAACGTTGGAAATCAGAGTCTTGTCGACCAATTCGAGTATGTAGGAATTTATGACTATGATCTTATATTGTAATTGTTAATCATTACAGATGGGATATGTCTGATCCAAACAATAGCCCCGAAGAGTTCTCCAGAAATATTTGCAAAGAACTGGGTCTTGGAGGTGAATTCATGTCTGGAATCGCGTATTCGATTCGAGGTCAGTTGCAATGGAATCAAAGAACCTATGCGTTCTCGGAAAGTCCTTTAGCGACAGTTGATTGCCCATTCAGGTACATTCGTTAATTTCAAAGAAATTGTAGTGAATGCTCAATTTTCCAGAACCGCAACTGAAGTCGAATCATGGGGACCGTTCCTCGAGACTTTGACAGATGCTGAGATTGAAAAGAAAATGCGAGATCAAGACAGAAACACCAGAAGAATGCGTCGTCTCGTCGGAGGCGGTTTCAATTATTAAACCTCTAATGATCTCTACAAAAATCTCTTGTACCTATATTTTCATTTTAACCACTCAATTTGAAATCGCTTAATCAGTATTTCTCTCATGTATACTTTATTTTTTATCTCTTCTTCGACTTTTCGTGATCACGTTACTTTTATGCCGGCTGCTCTTTCCTTGCGGAACATGAGGCGGTCTTTTGTATTTTAACTGATGAATAAATAATTTATTTTTCAGGGCACTGCTCAATCGATAAAAATGGGTGACAACGACGTTGAGATGGAGGACGTGGTGGTCAACGCTGAGAAATCGAAGGGCAGAGGACTTGCACAGGTATGTCAAACTTCTAATTAGTTTTTGTTTTCTGTAGGTGATCAAAAATCGATCACTGAAGATAGGTATCACAGTTTTCTTTATTGGTGATCTTGAAAGTTTTCATTGTTGTAGACCCGAAATCGTGAAAAGATCACATACGACGTTGTCGATGAGGAGTCAACTGCTGCCAGTGGTGGACCACAAAGATCTGTCGAAGGATGGATTGTGTTTGTGACGAACATCCACGAGGAAGCCACTGAGGATGATGTGCACGACAAGTTTTCCGAGTACGGAAAAATCAAAAACATTCATCTGAATCTCGACAGAAGAACTGGATTTTTGAAGGGATATGCGCTCGTTGAGTACGAAACGCAGAAGGTTTGTTTTGAAAGATCTATCTGAAGGTCTGATTCGGTTGCTTTCAGGAAGCTAGCGAAGCAATCGAGAAAAGCAACGACACTGATTTGCTCGGACAGAACGTGAAGGTTGACTGGTGTTTCATCAAGGGAAAGAAAACATCTGGAAGACGTTAATTTTACATCAACAGTCAACAATCCCTTGTGTTCGTGTCAATTATTTGTCAGCAGCCACGTATGCGCCTTTCCAACACCACTGTTTTCTCACAGTCGACTTTTCATTGTTATTATCTCTTCTCCTCTTATTTATTTTCCCATTCTTTTGATTCTTAATTTTTTTGAAACATTCTCAATTTGTTTCTCTTTTTATCTCTCGAAATTTTCTGTTTTATTGGTCTCGCCTTTCACACTATAAGTTTATTTGTTGCTTTCAATAAATATGACAAGAACTAAATTTTTCTGTTCTTCCATCTGATTCTATCGTCTCTCTTCAATGAGCGATTTTTAATATCTTTTTGATCTGGCAACGCGTATTTGATAAATCTGAGCTAATTTAAGATGCTTGGATCTGCTGTTCGTGCTCTGACCCGCGCCGTTCCATCCGTCGCTGTTGCCTCCCGCCAGCTGAACACCTCTCGTGCTCTGTTGTCACTCCGACCACTCGGTCCAAAGAACACTGTTCCAGCTTTCAAAGGAACTGCCGTCGTCGATGGAGACTTCAAGGTGATTTCCGATCAAGACTACAAGGGAAAATGGCTCGTTATGTTCTTCTACCCACTCGACTTCACGTTTGTGTGCCCTACTGAAATCATTGCTTATGGAGATCGTGCCAATGAGTTCCGTGCTCTTGGAGCCGAAGTCGTCGCATGCTCCTGCGATTCTCACTTCTCTCATCTTGCCTGGGTAAACACACCACGTAAGGATGGAGGTCTTGGAGATATGGACATTCCACTTCTTGCTGATTTCAACAAGAAGATTGCTGATTCGTTTGGTGTACTTGACACAGAGTCTGGGCTCTCATACCGTGGATTGTTCCTCATCGATCCATCTGGAACTGTTCGTCACACGACTTGCAACGATCTCCCTGTCGGAAGATCTGTTGATGAGACTTTGAGAGTTCTCAAAGCATTCCAATTTTCGGACAAGCACGGAGAGGTAAATAGCGGAAAAGTGTCATTCAAATATGATTTATATTCCAGGTGTGCCCAGCTGACTGGAAGGAGGATTCGCCAACCATCAAACCAGGAGTCTCTTCCAGCAAGGAATACTTCAACAAAGTCAACAAGTAGATTGAATTTACTAGCTTCGTCATAACGCCAGGAAGAAATCATTTTTTATCGTATCGATATTTAGTATTAGTTTATTTTTGTCGAATAAATTATGAAATTGAAAAACAAATGTGTTTGAATTGGTGTTTTATAGTTTTCACTGGTTGATATTGGTCTATTTCTTTTTTTGGTGCTGAATAAACCACCGAAACGTAACATTTTACAGAGATTTTTTTCATGAACAGGAAAAAGTTGTCAACATACGGACAAGAGTTCGATGACGACGATGAAGAAGGTGTGTTCTTAATGATCTGAATTAATTAGAATCGAAGTGTATTTCTTTCAGGTGTCACCGTATCGAAAAAGCCAACTCAGATACATGAAGAAGTCGCGACGGATGAGAAAGGAAAGCGGAGGTTCGTAAAAATTTTTACTGCTTGTAATGAACAACGCTTCTTTCAGATTTCATGGTGCTTTCACTGGAGGATTCTCAGCTGGCTACTGGAATACTGTAGGATCAAAACAAGGATGGGTCCCACAAGTGTTTTCTTCCTCCAAAGATGCACGCGGAGACCAAATAAAACAGAGAGCGGAGGATTTCATGGATGCTGAAGATCTCGGAGAATATGGAATCGGCAATCGATCTATCAAACAGACATCTACATTTGGTGATGGAGGAAGTCAGAAGAGAAAGCTGGCATGGGAGAGAGATGCTGCCAGCGTGTCAACCATAACTCAGATGTTTGAAGAAGTCGTGAAACCTGTGAGCAATTCCATAGGTGTTCGAATGCTCCGGTCTATGGGTTGGCGAGAAGGAAGAGGAGTCGGTTTGGCAAATGTCAAGCAAAAGAAAAATAGAGGAGGGATGACTGAAGAAGCTGAGTTCGATCGAGAACAAGCTGCGAAAGTAGCCCCGTCGTATGAACTCGCGAACGAAGATGCTCTAGTTAAGCAGTTGAGACCATTGTCCGGAGATCATGGTATTGGATATCAGGTAGTATTCCTATCATAGGGGATGGAAGTTTTCAATTTCATTTTTATTTCGTTTTCATTTTCAGGGTCTGCGACAAACAACTGTTCTCGATGAATCGTATGGTAGAACCGCTTTAGCACTGAAATCTGGAAACAAAAACAGCAAAGGAATCAGAGGACAAGCGTTTGGCGTCGGTGCATTTGAAGAAGAAGATGAGAGTGTTTATTCAAATTATGATCTATCGCAATTTGATTTCTCTCTGGATGTCGCTGGAACTTCTGGAGAGAGTGATCTGAAAACACAGAAGGTTGATACTGCTTTTGAATTGCAACCAAAACGATTGAACCCAAGGAAGTTTTATGGCCCACCACGGGTTCCACCTAATTTTAGAGGAAACCATAAACCAATTCCTATGGATATATCCAAGTTGCCTCACTTAATAAAAGAAGACGTTAAGCAGATGAATGCGGTTCAAAGGGCCAAATTTCTAGGAGAAGATCGTTTGAACATTTTGCAAATTGGTGTTCAAGATAGTAGTAAACCAAAAGAAAGAAGAAGTAGATGGGACATCAAGGCGAACGAAGTCGAGCAACGAGAAGGACAACGAGGCGGTGAAGCAGACGAAGAAAGAGATCGTCGTCTTCGGAACCGAGTGGAATTCCCAAATGAACCCATGCGTCAAGCTCGATTCAAAGAATTTCTTCATTATATCAGACGAGGCCTTCCGTATCCTCAACCAACTGATTTGACTGTTTGGGAGTGGGAATGGGAGAAGAAAGAATTCGAATCAAAACTAACGACTGAGGAAAGAGGAATGCTTCCAGAAGTTCAATCGCGAGCTCAACCACTTGCTAAAACCGCTATCGCTGCTCCTATACACGAAATGATGGCGTCGAAATTCGTGAAAGAAGCAGCTGGTGATCTGAAAGTGGGAACAAAAGACGAAGACAAATTGGCTGCAGTGAAAATGGAAATGTTTGGTGATAGAACAAGACAGAGTTTTGAATGGTGTGAATATGATTTTTTAAAGTCGCATATTGATACATATTTTGTTTTCAGGTACCCTGACGCTCTTCTAGCAAAGCGATTCAATGTTCCACATCCCTTCCCAGGATGTGATATGGTTGGTGTTCCTGCCCTCCAAAAAACCAATTGGAGACAAAAAGACACGTTGGGAGATATTGGTTTTTCAACCTCTGTTGGACTTCCAAATACTGCAAACGAGATCGAAATGAGAGAACGGCTTCTAAAGACAAAAGCTCGGCGTGCCGCAGAAGAAGCGAATCGACGAGAATCTGATGATGAAGAGTATGCAGATAAGAAAGAAGAACTTGGTGAAAAAGAGGAAAAGGAAGATCAAAAAGAAGAGAAGGCACCAAAGTCGTTCTTTGATTTAATTTTTGGTGATGGTTTTGAGATAGATGATGATGATAGTGAAGATGAAAAAGAACAGGAGAGAGAAAGGCAGAAAGAACTCGAACGAAGAAAAGAGGAAGAAAGGAAGAGGATGGAAGAAAAGGAAAGGAAAGAAGAGGAAAGAAGGAATGAAGTTCATCGAGAGTTGAGAAAATTAGAAGAAAAAAAACGTTTGGGGGTGAAAAGCCGGAAAGAAAACGATGATGACGATATTCAGGTCATTGAAGAAATCTCCAAGGTTTGTTCTTAAAATTTGAAATCAACAAGTACACGCTCTCCCACAGAACAATTCCGAACTGCAAATTAATTTTTGATCTACATAAAAAAGTTTGGCGCGATCACAATTGCAGGTCTAAAACCATAATTTCAGAATTTTTTATCTGATTTTGTGGAGTTCCAAGATGATTCAAATAATTCTTAAAAAATTAATTAGTGGTTATAGATTCATGTATGGTCGTTTTCCGGAAGAAAAAAATGTCAAAAATGGACATTTTGAAAGTTTTTTACAGAAAAAATCTATCTCCTCTTTCAGTTTTTGACATTTCTAGGAGTTCTATAGCTCAAAAAACCACAATATTTTCTCTACATTTTCTATGGACGAATTTTTAATTCGTCTGATAAAACTTTTTTTATAATCAAAAAACAACGCAAAAATGTTATTTTGTGCAATTTCATGAGGGTTTTGAATTATAAAAAAAGTTTTATCAGATAAATTAAAAATTCATCCATAGAAAATATAGAGAAAATAATTGCGGTTTTTTTGAGCTATAGAACTCCTAGAAACGTCAAAAACTGAAAGAGGATATACATTTTTCTGTAAAAAACTTTCAAAAATGACCATTTTTGACATTTTTTTTCTTCCGGAAAACGACCATACATGAATCTATAACCATTAATTAATTTTTTAAGAATCATTTGAATCATCTTGGAACTCCACAAAATCAGATAAAAAATTCTGAAATTATGGTTTTAGACCTGCAATTGTGATCGCGCCAAACTTTTTTCTGTAGATCAAAAATTAATTTGCAGTTCGGAATTGTTCTGTGGGAGAGCGTGAAGTATGCTATTATTTGTTCAGAATGTCACATCATACGGACCAACACTTCCACCAATAGCTGCAACTCTTTCCAAAGACTCTGTTCTCCACCTTCTTGAGAAAAGTATCAAGGAAAAAGACGGTTCCAAAAAGAAGAAGAAGAAGAAGGAGGAAAAAGAAAGGAAGCATTCGAAAAAGTCGAAGAAATCGAAAAAGAGCAAAAAAGAAAAGAAAAAGAAGAGACACTCTTCATCAAGTGATTCTAGTGATGATTCCGGTGAATGGGAGGAAAAGTGAACAACAAAATTCAACTGTCAAATTTCGTATTTTTTAAATTTATCAGTTTCAATTTATTTTCAACAAAGTATTTATTTATGATTAAGTGATCTCTGACTACTTTTTTGTCTCCTCCTTTGTGGCTATTTGTCCTCCTCGATTTGTCTGTCGCTTTCTTTCTCTAAATCTCTTCCACTTCCTCATATTTTCATTCTTTTCTCGCTTTTCTCTCGAAAGATTTGTGACGTTTGGTTCCTGCGAACCCATGCACTCAGGTCACATTTTGCCGATAGGAAAAGGAATACACTTTTTGATTTTACGATGTCAAATTGTGCTACTGATTCGGGAAAACATTTGAAATCACCATGACATTTTTAGAGGCTAATAGAATCATTGTTCATTGATTTGATATCAGAAAACAACTTTTTATTTTTACTCCTTGTATCAATCTGCTTCTCTAAACATCTGAAAAAATCCCGTTCTCTACTTAAAACAACTATCACCAGCAAACCAAAATCTTTCCATTTTACCTTATCATTCACTTTGCTTATCATCATTCACCGATCATCGGACGGTTTCTTGATTTCTCACGCGATTCCAGTAGAACGGACAGCTTTCGAATCCAGTTTCTTGACTCAATTTCAGCATTTTCAGATGTCTCGAGTCATCTCAAAAGTGACAACTTACTTCAAACAACATTCAACTGCGGAATGGAAACATTATTTTCTTTCCACCCATTTCTGGGGTCCAGTTGCCAATTGGGGACTTCCGTTAGCTGCTCTCGGAGATTTGAAGGTATTTCTAGTTTCTAACTTATCATAAAACAAACAACAATATTTTCAGAAAAACCCTGACATGATCAGTGGCCCAATGACATCAGCTCTTCTGATCTACTCGAGTGTCTTCATGCGTTTCGCATGGCATGTTCAGCCACGAAACCTCCTCCTTTTCGCCTGCCATCTTGCCAATTTCAGTGCTCAAGGAGCTCAGGTAAATCTATTCATTTGCTTTTTATTTTTATCAGTTTTAGCAAAAACTTTTCAGCTGGGACGTTTCATAAACCACAACTATCTTCACTATGTCGAGGACCCAGTTCATCACAAATTGATGGTAAAAAAAGAAATTTTGGAACATGAACATGAAATCGAAATCAAAAAAGCCCATTGAAGACCAAACGGAATCAATTAAATATATTTTTTCGCGGGTTTCGCTATTTTTACCTTTGATTTTATTTTCTTTAGGAGATTTCAAAATTATTTGCAGAAGGATAAAATATTGCTTGTTACTTTTTTACTTCAAAAATATAATAATCAAGAAAACCGTTTATTTAATTCTCGAAACAGTAGAATTCAGTCCTAACAAAACAACCATTTATTTTTCTGCTTTTTCTTCTCCTCAGCTTGTTTTGCCTCCTCGCTCTCTTGATCTGTCATTTTTCCAGTCACTCTGAAAACTTTCAAAATGGTACGTGATATTTTCCGACCATGGCTTACTGTCCCATGTAGGCTGGAAACTGTCGGTTTTTGTCCCACAAAACAACGCAAATGGGATAACTGATAGTCTCAGCTTGCTCGGCTAAAAACAAAATATGATGTTAAGGTTCTAAAATTCAGAGTTACACCATTCAGTTCCAAAAGTGTCGTCCTTGCTTTTTCTTCCTCTTGCTTCCTCCGAATTTCAGATTTCCACCCTTTTCTACGCAGTAACGATCCAGTCTGACTAAATTGAAAAACTTCTAGACTGAAATTAATGACTTTTTGAAACATACACTTGCTTTGGAGCTGTTTGTCTTGGAGAATTTCGAAATGAAAGTAGTCCATAATGTTGTAAATGACTGATTTTCTGTGGATCTCCAGTAGCAGACGGTACAGCATCGGCGATTGCCAGATCACCAAAACCACCAAGAACAAATACGGAATGAAGATTTGCAGCAGCCTAAAACATAAAAATTTGATTCCCTGAAATGACAATTTTCCGTTTTTACCACTAAATGCTGAGCAATTCTGTTGGGTGGAAAGTTTTTTGTTTTCCAATTCGGAACGTAGATAGACTTTAATGAAGACGATTTTTCCTGAGAAATGAAACATTTTTATTATGCTGGTTTGCAAAAATCTGAGCTGAGAAAAAGAAAATTTGGTTGCCTCGGCAGAACTACAGTAATTATAAAATAAGTGTTACCTTCCTTTTTTTACCGATTTTCGTCCCTTCTCCGGCAATTTTTTTAGGTTAAAAATATTATTTCCTTTTGCTTGGAGGTTCTCAACACGAAAATTGTCGAAAAGCAATAGTAACCGAGAAAAAATGA